TTGCAGATAGACTACTCCAGATTCTTAATTAAGCGACGATTTCTTGCAGCGTGCAGCCCTAGCTCGACACCGGTCAAGCCACTCCGCTTAAGGCAGTCCAGTCCAGCGTCTGGCCGTCTGAGCAGTACTAGAACTACAAGTATAGAGTATCGACTAGATTTGATATGCCTAACAGTAAGCAAGCCTATCAGGACTGTAGTAGTTCATGTGGTGCTATTGTTCTTTTTCGCTCATTTTTAGTATGAGCCATGCCGATGACATCACCGCTATATGGATAGGAGCAATAGCTTCAGACAGGTTCGGATGCCCTATAATGTGAGCACAGAGTGGGTAGGCCGTGATAGAAACAACAAGGCAGAAGTTCAATATTTGCCCTGGTAGCTCAAAAGTAGCAATGTTTATGCTTATTTGAAAGTGCTGGCATAATCATCATCAAGGAAATTCTGGTTTTCTTACGGACTTGTGCTACGGTATATATATCTCCGGGCAATGAACAACTCTATTAAGGGACTCCGGTCAACCTACACTTTCTATGATACAATTTTGATTGAGACATTGAGGTTTTATAACCAGGCATAAGTCCCTTGAAGTTTATACATTCGAGGTAGTTTACCTGGTTGCTTTCGAACGTCGTAATCTGCATGCTACTGAAGGTTGGGCATCAGTGTTATTAACTTATTCAAACAACAGCCTTTGATCTGTAGCTTAGCTGTCCAATTACAGGGCAAATAGCTGAAGGCAAGCCGGGCTCTGTTTCTTTCATCGAGTATAGACGTCATTGAGGGCCCAAGTGAGGAATGAAGATGACGGTGAAGTCGTCGTTGATCTCGACTTTCCGGTATCTCACGGAACAAGCGTGCCGACCGGTGGAGCGAGACTTGGAGGTTGAGGACACTGTGGCGAACATACTTATCAATGGAATCTGTATCCGAGACCGTGACCGGCTACCAGGTACCTAGGTAAATGAAGAATAAGGTTGCTTTGCGATACTTTGGCCATCTGCTAACTGACATCTGGCATCGGCCCATCCTGGTGACAATCACGACAATTAGCCTCGCCAAGAGAGACGGCGTGCACTGGATCCTTCGCCTGAGGGGTCAAAGTGGCTCGCCGATCGAGAGGCTTAGTGGCCCTTCTGGAAGCATTCGCTGCAGCAGCTCGGAATCGAGAAATTCAGGTATCCATGATGCTGATGATAGTGGTGACGACCTTGGATAGTGGTAGACCTGCCCCTTCCGGCAGAAAGAAGCCCTGCCAGGAACTAGAGAGCAAGGTTGGTAAGCCTGGAGCCCTAACAGTAACAGCGCGACCACGGTTAGACTCTGGAGAAGCGATAATCGGATGTAACCCAGCAGCGCTGCTTTTATTCGCTGGAAGTGACCATGTCACCATAATCCCCAGGATGCGGGAGTCTGGAGAGACACATTTAAGTCTCTTCAGTCTCTCCTCTTCCTCCACGTCGCAATGCAGGGATATTGCTTTTGGTGAGCTGGACGTGGGAGTGCATAATTCCTGCAGCGGCCTCCTTCACCGGATCCAACCGGGTTCCCGATCAGCGGGATTATGACGACGATAAGTCTCTCACAGTCTACAGTTTGATCTTGGGGTCAAGCGCAACGGCGGGGGGTCAAAACGGCATTTAGTCGGATGCCAATCAACAGCCTCGACTCTTTCCCCATCGAGTGCAGCTCCATTGGCCTGTATAATTAATCCCCAACAGACCCAGCCTCGCTTTCACTGATTCCAATCATTCCGTATTTATTGATTGGTGTGGGGGTGAATATTCGATAATACCCATTATTGCACAAATCAACACAGTTCTCTAAGCCTCTTGAGACTTGCCTCGTCTGAGTCGTCTCCGGCTTGCTTCGACTTCACTTCTCTTTCCTCTTCCTCCCTTCCTCCTTCTTTCCTCCTCCCTCCTCAATAACCCTCCACCTTCCACCTTTCTGCACCCACGCCCTTTGCGAACGATGATACCAAGGTCCGTTCGGATTCTCGATTGTTGTCTGTGCTCGCACATCGTCTGTCCTAATCCCCTTGCTGGGAGGGCCTCTGCCGCTGTGACGTATCGCTCAACGAGGACGCTCCTCCACTCCACACCGAATTGCTGAGCCATCCCTGCCGACTCCCTTCCTAGAACCTTTCCGATTCCGCCAAGATGAGTCTCCGCGAGAAGTTACGAAAGCTGTTTGGGAGGAACAAATGCAACGCGTCCGACACCGGAATCAAGATCGTATACTACAGGCGAGGCGAGATTCCCCCATCGAAATTCAAGGGCCCATTCGACAAGGAACACCAGAAGCGACTGGCTGCGTGGTCGTTCGAAAAAGCCCAGGAAGATCGTCCGCGCTCCCCGGATCTATCACTTTCACCTTGTACGACCCTGCCGGACTATCTACTTATCTACGATCCCGGGAGGATGCCGACCCAGTTCCAGACCAGGCCCGGCCCAGGTTACCAGGGGTGCATCTGTCTAGTGAAGGTTTGTACCGCCTCAGCCAAAGCCTCTTGCCTTATTCCAAGGCTTATGTTGAGGTCAACTCGCTAACCAATCACCAGCGACGCCGGCGGCCTACCATGACGAATTCATCCAAGATCGACAGGCAACTGCATCCTTGTCTTCCATCACCGCTGTTGATCCAGAAAGCTTCAGCGACTCAACAATGACGCTCTTCCTCGATCCTCTTGAAGACGACTCCCCAATAAAATCCAAGGAACCCATCCGCAATACCGCGCCGCACATTCGATCGGGTACCACGTCGGCCTTACCGACAAAGGGTATGCCCTCGCCGTTCGCCCCGGACGATCTATCACATGCGTTGAACGCTGTACAGATCTGTTCATAAATCTACCTTGCCATTTCAAAACACCTTCTGAGAAGACCTTTATTACGCCCGTCACGGCCATCATCTCGACCTAGTTCGATATCTTCTTCCATCCTCCTTATAGGACCTATTTTTAGCCGGTGGCAAGGATCTACTGACAGAATCTGGGTTCCTGCTTATCGCGCTCATCGTCCGATTCGAGGGGAAACAACCAACATTCAAGCAGTGCTTGTGGGATATCTTTTATCTTTGGTACTTTTTTCATTGTCCTGTTCTTGCATCGTCTTTTTTTGTTTGCAGCGAATATGCATTCGGCGTTGAAACCATGAGGTCCTTATGACCGTTTACGAATAAGTTTACTCAAGTCAGCCAGATCAAAACATCGCTGGAGATCGGGCATGGTGTACTACTGTAGCTTTCAGGCTAGATATACATCAGAATCATTCAACAAAGTCTGTACAACCATGCGCCAAGCCCATAATGACAAAGTATGACTATATGCCATGTGGAAATCGAACGAGTGTTGGATTAACTTGAATCTTCCAGCGAAAAGCCTAATTGTATGGGATTGATAGGGTCGTTTCAGAAGGCGTCACCAGACAAGTCCTGCCATGAACCGCGCGTCTGAGCTTCTTGAAACCGAAAATTCTCTCTTGAAACTTGAGGAACCTGAAACAGGAACTGTGATTCTGACCTGAGTCTGAACTCCGGACTTTTCTCTCTCTCCTAGTCTCTATCTGCGACGGAAGTACCGAATTGACTTTACACTTCAGGCGCTCGGACCCGGCCGAAGCCTCCAGCTCGCGCATTCTCCACCATGACTGAGGTCTCAACACCACCATCACCGAAGAGTTGCCGGCGACCGCAGCGATTGATTCCACCTTGAAACCGGCAAAATGGTTATCAACATGAACTGCGGTTCTTGCGTTTCCTATCTGCAACCATGCATCCTCGGTCTCAGTCTGAGGGCGACGAGGCATCGTACCGCAGCTGCTTTTGCAGACCGTGCAAGAGCCACATCCTCCTGCGACGTCGACCTTGCTTCGGCTATCAGAAAAGAAATCTCGCAATTATACAGCTAGTTAGCTTTTAGGCAACTCTAACTCAGCTCGCACGGATCATCTATATGCGCCGACTTCACCATTGAAGCTGTCCAGTGCGCAGCCTGGAAGAATGGGTTGCAGACTCGCAGATCCTGTCGACAGCGCAGTCTATCACCAGCGTCATCAAGGCTTGAAGCATAAGACTTGAAGCTGGGACAAGAACGAACAACAATGCTATTGCTGGATTTGGCGCGAAAACATGAATCATGATATCCGAATCAACCTTGACCCCCTCAAGGTACTCTCTGGTCCAGGTAAGGCTGCGGCCGGATCTTCAGGCTTTTCTCGGCGCATAGTAGGTTACTGACCTTTACTACTCCGTAGCACTATCAATTCCGGGAAACATTCTCTCCTGCATAGCATGATCCGCGTACGATCGTCGACAGTACATTTTTCACGAGTTCTAGATCCCAAGCTCGCCCAGCTGCATGGCACGAAGATCATCCATCGATAGTTTGTCCCGGCATGGACGGTCGAAATACTACTCCGGACACCTGAGATGATCTCTCCTAGCACACTGTGAGTTGCGGTGTCGGGAAAAAGCAATATGTACTCGGATGCTGCAGCCTGCAAGCAGCAATGTTCGCCTGGCAGTGGAGTCACGGAGAGCATCCTGGAACTCATTCCCATGCTGTATGCCCTCGAAATCCTAATTTTTGAAGGGTGATGATGTGGAACCATGCTCGTGGCTTCGTCAACAATGAAGCCCCAACCGACGGTTCGAGGCACCTGTTTAAGGGTGTTTCTTTGCTTTTTCTACAGATCACCTGGGCCACTTCTTGCCGACATCCTCCATAAAGCACTCTGTGCCCGGTACTTTGTCCTTGTTGACGGCTTCCTCTTTATCGCCAAGTCTATTCCATTCTCCAAGTTTCCTTTCCCCGCTGCCTTTCTGGGTGGCCTGCATTGTGCTCTCGGTGAAGCTAGTGGTCTCGACTCTCCTCAAGCTATGACGAGTCAGCAATACCTCGGCAATCTCTGCAATGAAGTCTTGAAGAGGATGAACTTCATCATTGATTACAGTATCGGCACTGAATTTTGGGTTCGCATTTACAGGCTCATTGCCAAAATCCTGCACGGTCATGTCCATCCCTGCATACTATGCACAAAAGGAACCAGGTCGAGTCATCGTTCTGCGTGTACCGTCGATCATAGAGCCACCACGATCTTTTTTACATCGGATCAACATCGTGGGATATGGATCTCTTAACCCGAGCACCTGGGTAGGGTGCTATGGACCATGCTCTAGCGGAACCCTGCAGTCACTGCTCCATTCGCAGTCCTACTGACCCTGGCCTTTAGGGCTATCATGTGCCTTGACCATGTGCTGTGACTATGTGCTTTGACCGCCGTCGATGCTGCATATCCATCGCTCCGATCACCCGGGCTTCACACTCTTGAGACAGGTGAGGCAATCTCGAACCTTGTTCATGTGCTAGTTCTTCAATCAAAGTCTGGAGATCATGCAGGTGAGCAATAAAGGTTATTCGCTGGTCTATGGAGAGGGATGGCGTCACCGGCGTGGCATGCTAAGTTCATGCTGAGCTCGGATGTTTCCTAATGGGTGATTGGAAGACACCTTTGGCCTCGCTGTTCGTACACGAGAAGGAAAAAGGAAGCCGGGAAAGAAACATATAAATCCTCTGGCGTACGTGAACTTCTTGAATTGATCTTCTATCCCGTACTCAGCCGCACTTTGCCCACCTCTATAGCAGCCGACACTGCATTCTCGCCATATACTTATCTGAATCATTGCACCCCTCCAACATGCCTGTGACGGCCAAACCCCGTATCCGCTCTCGAAATTATCGTTACCAAGCTCGGTGGAAACGGGGCAAAGAGGACAGACAAGTCATTCCGCGTGTACCCAAAGAGAAATACTCAAGGCTGCTCATTGACAACCTCAATTTGGGCCTCGCGGATTTCCTGAACGTTCCATCATGGACTAGGCATCACATCGAAATACCTGCCGTTGATAGCCCAACACGCTTTGGGCGATTTGGCGGCCAATTCGCTCCAGAGTTGCAGATGAGCCTCCTGCTTGATCTCCCCAGTGTATTCCACAGCATCATCTCAGACGACAGTTTCTGGGCAGACTTTTCTGCCTGCCCCCTTATTCGCCCCAGTCCTCTTCATTTAGCCCAGAACCTGACCCAGGCCGTTGGTGGGGCGAATATCTGGCTGAAACGCGAGGACCTCAATCCTTACGCCAGCTATCAAACACGCAACATCGTAGGCCAGATCCTCTTCGCCCGTTATGTCGGAAAGACGGAGATTGCCATGGACTGCGCGCTTGCGGGACACGGTCTTGTGTGTGCCACTATGTGCGCGCGCATGAATATCAAATGCACAATCCTCATGGGTTCCTCTGATATCGCCGCACAGCCCGACGGCGTCAAGGAGATGAAACGGCTCGGTGCGAATGTGATCAGTGTGCAATGCACGATCAAAAACGACGGTAGTGGCACGCTCCGAGCGGCAGCAAATGAAGCCCTGCGCTACTCACTGACACGCCTTGACTCGACCTACCATATCACTACCGGCACTGTTGGTCCCCATCCACTCCCAACCATCACCCGCACCTTCCAATCTCTACTAGGCCAGGAGATCAGGAACTGCGTCGCCAAACCACCCGGCAAGGCATTCAGGCCTTCGGCCCTCGTCTCTGCCACCGGTCCATCGGGCGCCGCTGCCCTAGGCATGTTCGCCCCGTTCATTTCCGACCCAAGTGTGCGCCTCATAGCAGTCGAAGCCTCCGATGCAGCTCCATTAACCCACGGCTCAGTGGGCGTCATGTACGGGTGCAAGACTCTCCTGCTTCAAGACGAGAATGGCCAGATCCTCCCTTCGCATTCCATTTCCCCAGATCTGAACTTCCAGTGCGCAGGGCCTGAGTTGGCGCATTGGAAGGATATCGGGCGGTTGGAGACGGTTACGGCATCGAGTGAGGAGGCTGTACAGGGTTTGAGGATTCTGGCTGAGAGTGAGGGGATTGTGCCGGGTTTGGCGACCGGCCATGCCGTCTTGGAGACTGTGAGACTTGCGAGGGAGCTGGGCGCTGGTAAGGATGTTGTGCTGCTTGTTTCGGGGTAGGATATCCTCTGCTGTTGAACTCTGGTATGGCGTTCAATCAGCTCTTGCTTGCGGGTTTGGCGTTGGCTGGGAATTTGCTTACTGGTCTGTCTCTGCTGGTGTTCTGTTACAAGTATGGGGTTGGCTTTGTGCATTGTTAGCTATATACACGAGTTTTTTGTTTTGATGCAGGTCATGCGTAATTCTATCATCAGTCGTTCCAATAGAGTCATCTATCCATCCATACATTCATCCACAACATTTTAGTCCTCATGAGTAACCGCCATATCCAAAACCTCCACTCGTCCTCGGCCCCGTGTCTCATTGCCAACGAACTCATTTAGACCCTTGAACGCACCAGGTTCCGCAAAACCGACAACCTCCCATTCATCGCTGGCAATATCCTGCGACTCGACGGATTCAATGAAGCTAAGGATCTTATCTTTGACGTTGCTCGGTCCCTTCGGCTGTACCGGCGCACCCTCCCCCTCAGACTCAGAGTCGTCGCCACGACGAGCACCCTTCTTCCCCTTCCCACCCTTTTTGTTCTTCGAGCCGCCACCGGACGGCGCCTCCTTCTCCTTGTTATTTGACCCAGCGGGCGCCGCAGACTTGACGCTCTGCTTGAGCAGTGATACAGGACAAGTAACCCGAAGACGCATCCGCGCCCTCATAACCGGAATGGGCTGCCAAGCGATAAGCGCCTTCATTGCCTCAAGCGCCAAACTCTTCGCCGACTTATTCGGGTTCACGCCCGTCCACAACGGTTTCCTCGGCTGCGCCGGTGCCCCTGCATCCTCATCGCCCTCTGTACCCTCTCCATTCTGTGCCGCCTGCTGCTGCTGTAACTGCCCACTCGCCGCCGTCAACTGATCCAGCGCCTTGGAAATCATCCCCGGTGTGTAGACCCGCTTCGTCGTCGGATCAATCAGCCGTCCGGAAACAATATCCAGCACTTCCTTCTCGATGCGCTCTGCGATTTCCTTCCGTTCACGCTCGCCCACTTGCACCTCGCCCTTGCGCAGGATTTCCTCTCTGATTTCGTCGGCGGGCGTGCCGGCGCCAAAGGCCTTCGTTATTTCTGCGGCGGGGGCGGTCTGCGCTTTTGAGACGGAGAGGAAGATCGTGGGGACTTGGAGGACATTGTCGAGGTCTTTTTCGGCGCCGGAGCGGTATTCTAGGAGTTTGTTCTTGTAGCAGGCTAGTTCGAAGCGCTTTTTGCCCTTTTTGAGGCGCACGACTGAGACGTTTGTGAATTTTATTTGGTTTGAGGGTTGGTTGATGGGCATTTTGGCGGTGCCGAGCGGGTCGAGGGAATGTCGATTCTATCGGTTGAGGGTTTGTTTGATTTTGTACAAGCGGGATAAATATCTCTTCGCGCTGCGGACGATAAATTCGTGCCCGGCGGCCAGTATCGATAATCGACGTCACATGCTGTGGGCCCTGTCCCGTAGATGACTCAGCGTGACTCCAAGTACCCCGTGACTGCGCTATCTGTGGGTCGTGCCCTGATTGGCTGCCTCCCCTTGGTTGCTATCAGCGTCATCGCCTGCCACCGCCCGGGCCTCCTCACCCGGCCCTCCATCTCCATCTCTCCTCACCTTGCTGCTTCTTTCTCCTCATCTTGTATCTTGTCAGTGAGTAGCTGGTTTGCTAGCTGCTTCTTTCAGGGTATACAGTTGGATTTTCGTAAGTGTTTCCTCTTTGTTGTCACCTGCCGTCATCTCTTTGTTTGGCCCCATTGCTGATAAGCTCCCTGCCTACGAAGGTCCTCGGCTGCCTGGGTGTACCATCATCTCGGCTCTTTTCCCTTTCATCCATTCCATCTGACATCTGCTTCAATCATCGTGTCATACGATCATCAATATGAGAGTTCTCCCAGCTACATTGCTGGTCGGAGCGGCCGCTGCCGCTACACCGGCCCAGCAGGTCCTCGGCGGTCTGCAGGACTTCGGAAACACCTTCCAGGACGCCGTGCAGGAGAACCTGCCCAAACTGAACAAGCCTCTCGAGGCTTTCCAGGAACATCTTAAGACTCTTTCTGACGAGGCTCGTGATCTCTGGGAGGAGGTTGCCGATGCTTTCCCCCAGTCTCTTGACCACAACCCTGTCTTCTCTCTGCCGAAGAAGCACACCCGCCGCCCTGACTCGCACTGGGACCACATTGTTCGTGGTGCTGATGTTCAGAGCGTCTGGGTGACTGGTGAGAATGGTGAGAAGGAGAGGGAGATTGAGGGTAAGCTTGAGGCTTATGATCTGAGGATCAAGAAGACCGACCCGGCTTCTCTTGGCATCGACCCCGATGTGAAGCAGTACACTGGCTATCTGGATGATAACGAGAATGATAAGCATCTGTTTTACTGTAAGTGGTTGTCTGTATTTGCTAGAGTGTGTGCTAACTGCTAGAAGGGTTCTTTGAGTCTCGAAATGACCCCAAGAACGACCCTGTTGTCCTGTGGTTGAACGGTGGCCCTGGCTGCTCATCTCTTACTGGTCTCTTCATGGAGCTTGGCCCCAGCAGTATCGACAAGAACGCCAAGCCAGTCTACAACCCTTACTCTTGGAACGCCAACGCTTCCGTGATCTTTTTGGACCAGCCCGTCAACGTTGGCTACTCTTACAGCGGCAGCGCTGTTAGCGACACTGTCGCTGCTGGCAAGGACGTCTACGCCTTGCTAACCCTCTTCTTCAAGCAGTTCCCTGAGTATGCTGAGCAGGACTTCCACATTGCTGGAGAATCCTACGCTGGCCACTACATTCCCGTTTTCACTTCTGAGATTCTTTCTCACCAGAAGCGCAACATCAACCTCAAGTCCGTCCTCATTGGTAACGGTCTGACCGATGGTCTCACCCAGTACGAATACTACCGCCCCATGGCCTGCGGTGACGGTGGCTACCCCGCCGTTTTGGATGAGGCTAGCTGCCAGTCCATGGACAATGCCCTGGGCCGGTGCCAGTCTATGATTGAGTCTTGCTACAGCAGTGAGAGTGCTTGGGTCTGTGTTCCTGCCTCTATCTACTGTAATAACGCCCTTCTCGCTCCTTACCAGCGCACCGGACGCAATGTTTACGACGTTCGCACCGATTGCGATCCCGGCACCAGCCTCTGCTACAAGGGTATGGACTACGTCACCGAGTACCTGAACAAGCCCGAAGTCATTGCGGCTGTCGGTGCCGAAGTCAGTGGCTATGACTCCTGCAACTTCGACATCAACCGCAACTTCCTCTTCCACGGTGACTGGATGAAGCCTTTCCACCGTCTTGTTCCCGGCATCCTTGAGCAGATCCCTGTCCTCATCTACGCTGGTGATGCTGACTTCATCTGCAACTGGCTTGGAAACAAGGCCTGGGCCGAGGCTCTTGAATGGCCCGGCCACAAAGAGTTCGCCGCTGCTTCCCTTGAGGACCTCAAGATCGTCGACAACGAGCACACCGGCAAGAAGATTGGCCAGGTCAAGTCCCACGGCAACTTCACCTTCATGCGTCTCTTTGGCGGTGGCCACATGGTCCCCATGGACCAGCCTGAAGCTTCTCTCGAGTTCTTCAACCGTTGGCTCGGTGGTGAGTGGTTCTAGATTAGACGCGACTCTATAGATCTCACGCCGGCCGAATATGCTTTAGTTTTCTTTTAGTGCTTCAGAACATGATTTCCTTGTTATAGTTGTTTGGTGCTTTCTCAATGCGAATATGCTATTTCTCAGACCTTTGGTTTTTTCTATACTTGCATTGTACGACTAGTCTTTTCTCTAATATAGACTATCTTGGTATGTGCTCCAAATAAAGACGTAGATATATAAATGGATACATCTACAACACTGTAGTCTTGATTTGTGGGCAAGAGATTAATGATCTACTCGAGCATTAATCCCTTGCAAACCTCGTCGAGAGACAAAGTTACTGGGGTGATGGGTACAGGGTAGATTGACAACTGACAGATGGGTGAAAGTCACTGAAAATACCTTTAATAACGAATTGCAGGGATAGGTATACTCCACCAAAGGGACTTTTTGCGGCGAGCAAAGCCCGTAAATGCATGGAATCGACATTCTATAGCGGGGTTGATGATAATGATTCGCATCTGTCTTTCGAATGTGTTGATAAGAGTCAGGTCTGTCCCTTGATAAGGATCAGGCCGGCGATAAGCAACCTCTGCTATGTGAATGCGGAGGCGAAGATCATTCGTTCGTGATTGCTAGTACTCGAGGGCCACTCGAGGGCCAAGATACATATTACGGAGCTGATGGCAGCGAAGTGACGGTGGCAAGTTCGTCCTTCACGGAGTACGCTTCAAGACGACGATCATGAAGTGCTTGACTCGACTGACACCAACGAAGGACCTAGAAAGGCCATGTCTAGGCCCGAGCTACAGGAAGGCAGACCTACTCGCAGGCTACTGAAGACAGAAGGCGGGTTGATCTTATTTTTTCATTCGAATTGGTATGAATCTTTTCATTTTCCGGGTCCGGCCGCGTCCATATTCGACACCAGATACCCTTGGTATTTCGTTAAAAACACACCAACATGCATCCCGATACCCAGCAGCACAACCCAGCAAAAAAGGAAAGTATAAGAGATCGATTTGCGCATACCCTTATCCCTTCTTCTTGCTGACACCGACGGTGCGACCACGGCGACCGGTGGTCTTGGTGTGCTGACCACGGACACGGAGACCCCAGTAGTGACGGAGACCGCGGTGGGAGCGGATCTTCTTGAGGCGCTCGAGATCCTCACGGTACTTGCTGTCGAGACCGTTGGAGAGGACCTGGTAGTCCTTGCCGTCGACGATGTCGCGCTGTCTGTTCAGGAACCAGCTGGGGATCTTGTACTGGGTGGGGTTCTGGAGGATGGTGACAATGCGCTCGAGCTCTTCGGTGGTGAGTTCACCAGCACTGTAGAAGGAACTTATTAGATGATTTTCGGAGTTTTCTTGCTGGGTTGTGGATGGAATGATTGGATGGGTGCGTTGTGCGTTGGAGAAAAGCCGTAGACATACCGCTTGTTGAGGTCAACATCGGCCTTCTTGCAGACCAAGTTGGAGTAACGGCGACCGACACCCTTGACCTGAGTCAAGGCGTACATGATCTTCTCCTTGCCGTCAACATTGGTGTTGAGCAGACGAAGGATGTACTGGAAGTTCGTCTTCTCGCCGGACACGAGCGCTGTATGAAGAAACCCAGTCAGCCTGATTCCCTTGCCATCCAGTTGCGTTGAATAATTTTTGTGTGTGAAAATTCGCAATCATCTCGCTGTCTGTTCTGTTCTGTGCGGTGCTGCTGCCGATTTTCAAAATCCTCCCCCGAAATCAACCAAATTCCATTTTTCGCAGAACAGTCGAGCAGAGCGAGAAGAGCAGCCGAATGGGCAGGATAGAGCAGGAAAGGAATGCCAGATGTAGCACGTACACATGATGGGCGATGGGCGCGAACGGGATCGCGAGTTGATTGTCGACAGCGAGAGGTGTGAGAAGGAGGTTAAATCGAGGGCTCTGGCGGCTTCAACTTTGCTCGCCCGTTGTGGGATCGGATTAACCGAGTCAGGAATGGTCGCTTGGAGGGCTCGCTTGACCACGCGCTAGGTCGAATACAGCTAGTCTATCATGTGACAGCTTTCTTCTCTCACTAAGCCTCCTGACTAATTTGATTTATGCTCGAGGCATAAACAGTCACCAACAGCAGCACTCAAAGCTGGTCTCATTGCGTGAACTGCAGGATACCAAAATCTTTGTCCCAGCTGTCAAAGCCTGTACTTGTACTTCGACTTATTCGGTCTTTGCTATTAGACTAATATCATAGTTGACGCGACGAGACGTTGCATCTCTATAACGACCACCACCATTTACCGCAAGGGTTGCTTGAGATGGCACCATGCATTGGCTCTCCTCCTTGACTAGACTCTGATGGAGTGGATCTTGCTAAGAAATGTCGAGTCTCACCTAGCGGTCTTTGTTTGAGGGAAATCCTTCCCACCATGCAGCCATTGATGCAACTGTCGACGACCGCCGGTAGCCACTGTGGACAAAGGATGCCACAATCTGACACTATGTGGTTCATGCCTGTGGCCTGCCCGTGGCCTATGATCGCCATGAATCCATACCTGATCTCTCGGAAAAAATGAACAATTTTACCTTTCACTTGTTCTTTCAGGCCTGTCGGCTGTGGGCTGCTTTTTTTAGGCACCCCAGGGTCAGATCTCTGAGAATGAGCATTCTTTGTCGTCGGTGCCCTCAGGCAAAGCGAGGCTGCATACTCGAACATATTGTTGTTTGAAACTCTCTCGTCTTGAAATGGGTCCTTGCACAATCCGTACACGCCTCTCTCCCACTTCTTCCTGTTGATCAGATGCTGCGGGAAATTTATGATTCCATTGCCCAATATGAACAACTATACCTATGCAAACCCTCCATACGAAGCCGAATACGGGCGCAGGTTCAACTTGGATGTTTTGCCACATCACCCCGTCGACTGGAGGTTCTTGAAAACCAAAAAGCTCGCGCATTTTGGACGGGCACACAAGGCAGATTACAAGCGCTGGTATGATTACTACTTCTGGGGTTTTGATATTAATCTTGGGTTTGCAAGGGTAGCGGAATATGATTTCGCTATTCAAAAGCTCATGTACTACACGGCGGAGCATCACCGGCCCGAGTCTTTCCAAGAGTTTGATGCCTGCACGCGGGATGCTGGCCCCCGACTGCTCGACTTTACAAGAATCCCAATAGACCAGAACACGAGACTATGGTACTTGCCTATTAGTCGAAACTTTCCTGATCTTCCATCCGGGTTTCATCGTACTGGTGATGAGTTTTTACGACCCGCGCAGGCACCAAAACTGTGGACCGACTTATACGTGGAGCAGGCACTTTATCCGTCCGATCCCAAGTTCCATGTGCATACCGCTGTCAAGAACTACTTTGCATATGCTGCAAAGTTAGCTGGAGAAAGTGATCTGCCTGGATGGGAACGAGATCAGGTGCGAGAAGCCGTTCAAAGGGCAATGATCAAAATCGCATACTCGGGACTGGAGCGGCACCCAAGTGCTGCCTCGCGTGACCCACCTCGGCGTATTCTTGCCTCGTCCCCCGAGGATCTGTTGCAGACCGTGATTCGGCCAATCTCTGCAATCTCCGAGGCGCGGGTCTCCGAAGATGACGATGGCAGGCTGTCTCTTGACCGTAGCGGCCAGCTCTGTGCCGTGAAAGGGCGTGGCCCGATCTACAGCGAAGACTCTGATGTTATGGACTGTGTTATTACAGTAGGGAAGCTGCTAGATGCTGGGTCTACGAATCTCGACCGTAAAGACCCTATCTGGTATACCCAAACAAGCCAGCTGCAGCGAGCTTTCGTAGAGCTCTGCGATGTCAACTGGGACATGTGCACGGAAGGTACTGGCGCTGACTTGAAAGAGCAATTTCGAAATATGATACTAGCCGAGATGGGTAACTTCGAAGGCGACAACCCCGCAGCCATCCGCCCCATCTGGGATGCTGTTTCGAAAGGCCTCGGCCAGTTCATGATCAACTACGCCGATCATGCCTGTAGTTGTGACTGTATAAAGAATCTTGTGCGTGAGGGGGCAGGTTGTCACAACTCCGTACCACTCCTTGAGGATGCAAGGGATTGGGAGGGCGTAACGATGCAGGAACTATTTGACCGCACTTTTGATGCTGTTCGGACCGAGCCTTGCGAGAAATGCTTTAAGGAAGATGCCGTTCGTCTCCAGAGGAGCTTTCTGAAACTCCCTCCTCGTCTAGTTGTCACAGTGCCTCTGGGGGTCATGATTCTAGGGCACACAGAGGACGTTACTGTCAAATATCGACGGGCAGGAGCTGTTTCCCAGGATGAATCGGCCGTTTATCGCTGGCTCGGGGGCATTTACCATGACGGGGGTTCATGCCGTGTTTTCTGGGACTTTGCAAAGCCTGGGGAAGCTTCCACTTATCAAGTTGGCATGTATGAAAGCTCGAACTACGGACTGATTGTTGAGGGGAGTCTAGGAAGGGAACATGATGGGTGCAAAGTGCCCCCGAAATGGTGGTGCAAGGGAGATATACCACTGCTGTTCTATGAACGTGTTATGAATCCGTCCTCGGATGTCTTGGCTGAGGCCGTGCATACCGTCTCCAATATGTGGTTGGAAGAAGGCAGGGGCGTTCTAACACTTCAAAATCATAAGCCGTGGGCTACCACCAGCGACTTGCCGCAGTCCGCGCGCGACTACCCCTGGATGCGTGATGAAATAGTGAAGCCTCCGGATGCTCAACACTTCCAACTCGCCCCCGACGGCTACATTCCACCAGAAATGGAAGAGTCCAGCTCTGAGGGTATTCAAAGCCCCGAGACCAAGCGCTCGGCCCCCAAGAGACCACATCCACCTGCACATGCTGAGGACAAGGAGTCATCCAAAAAGACGAAACAAGATCAACCAGCTCCAGATTCACACGCAGCTGCACCTGGGGAAGCAGCTGAGGCCACTGATAGAGGGAGGATGCCACCTTCAAGTCCTCAATTCATCCGATACCCATTACGCAGGTACAGTTCAAGAATGGATATATGTGTGAGTGATCGGGCTAGGACACGCTCGGTCTCATCACACAGGCAGGGTGGCCGTTTAAGCACAATTACTGAAGAAAGGCTTGCTGGGAGAACATCAGGTTTGGGAGCCAGCGGACCAACAGAGCCGAAACCAGAGGCCCAGAAGCCTACCCCTGCAGATAACAGCGTGCCGCCAAAGCCTACGTTTCCTGTTTATCAGAACAGGTCTGTCCAAATGGAAGCAGGTTTGGAGCGCGATGATCGCAGGCAAGAAACCAAGGATAGTCGAGAACATACCGCCCAGAATGCAGCCAGGCCATCAAGGCCCAATCTCGCAGCTATGATCAAGGGAGGTCTATCCGCCGACGACCCGCGGGAGAAGCATACCGCCCATGATGCACTCGGGCCACCGAAATATGACCTCGCTGCTATGATCAAGGGAGGTCTATCCGCCGACGAATCGCGGGAGAAGCGTACCGCTCCTGATGCAGCCGGGCCACCAAAACACGACATTGCTACTATGATCAAGGGAGGTCTATCCGCCGACAAACGGCGTGAGAAGGGCAACGTCCATGATATAGCCGGGCCACCAAAACATGACCTCGCTGCTATGATCAATGGAGGCCTATCTGCGGATGGGCCGACGGGGAGCGAACTGGAGACCGCAAAGCGTCACGCCGAGAAGGAAGAAAGGCAACGTCGCAAGGAAAGGCAACGTGAGAGGGAGGACAGTTCCGAGGATAAACATCGTGAGATGGAGAGCGAACTGGAGGCCGCAGAGCGTCACGCCGAGAAGGAAAGGCGACGCCGGAAGGGAAGGCAACGTGAGAAGGAAAGCAGCTCCAAGAATAGGCATCGTGAGAAGGAGGACAGCTCCAGGGATAGGTATCGTGGGAGGGACAGCGGCTCCAGGGAGAAGCTTAAGAGGGAACGCAGGGGAAGGGAGAAGACTAAGGAGGATAGAGGGCGGGGGTCTCGCGAATAGATTGTTTTGCTTGTAGTTTCGTTGTACTAGCAGAATTGGTTTGTTGTTTCGCGCTGCGGTGTTTACAGTCAATATGTATGATTATTTGTCTTTCGTCTACCATCGTTCCAGCTGGACTGGACTTTGAAATACGTGCAATAATCGCAGTGTAGTATTGTCATCTCCAGGCTAGTGGCTGTCCTGCCAATCATGGATGGTTTATTTGCATTGTGCCGAGGGAAGGCACCGCAACCGCAACCACCCCAGGGGCCCAGACACAAAGGACACCTTCCCCGCACTTTCGACGTGGTCTGACCGCGAGTCCTTTTAACATCCAGTCCCAGACGAATTGCTCTCAAAGGTATATTATCCCATCCTTTCTAGGATGCATCCATCTAACGTCTAAATCTAACGGAATCTAACGAACCCAAACACGCAGAACCCGGATATATACAAGAAACGACATCGAACTCCAGCACACCATCTACAGCTTAGCAGCCCGCTGAGCTGTATGCGGACGTGGAGGCCCAGTTGGTTCATCGCTCTTCTTCGGCGCAGAGATATAACCTCCCTTGACGTTATCTGTGTTTGTGATCTTCCCGGTCTCGTCTCTCTTGATTCCCAGCTCGATCAACTTCGCGAACACCTTCGCAAAGTGATCAAAGAACAGCTCTTTATCCTTCGCATACCGCTCTACCCAAGGCCGGAACGCAGGGTCATCCCTCAAAGCAACATCGGTCGGCAGCATCATAAGCGGCTCCTCGTCGTCCTCCGCCTCGGGATCAACATACACAAACTGACTGACACCGTTCTCCAACGTCTTCGGCTTCCACTCCATCGTCAACAGCAGCTTGAAAAACTGGTTCGAGAACCGCGTCGGGTTGTTCACCCAGGGACCGTGGAACCCCGACCGATCTGAATGGCACCGGCCCAGATTATGTCCGCCCGTCAAGCATACAATTTCCTGGTCGTTGAAGCCCATACGGTAGAAGATAAAGCGGAGATGCTCGGCGCCCAGAGCGCCGTCGGGTAATCGCCCGCGCGGAGGAATCTTGGAGTCGTCGACATAGTCGGTCCGGCCGGGTTGCCAGGCGACTTTGGGCCCGCCCATCTCTTCGATTGCGACGACGCCCGCGAGCGTCCACAGGTCGCTGTATGTGATCCAGGGATGATTCTTCTTTACGGGCTCGAGGAAGGCCCGGCCGTGCTGGAGACCGGCGTTTGCGGGATCGCCACCTTCGCCTTCATATCGCATGCCAGCGCCGTTGGAGCCGCCGGTGTCGCTTGCAGCGTCGTATGTTCCGGAGGAGTGCCTAGGATCGCAAATCGGTTAGCACCCGTTGTTCGGAAAATCCGATGTCACTGAGAAAGGGTACGAACCACGCAAGACGGACGAAGACGGGGCCTGCGCTGCCGTCATCGTAATTGGGCTTCTTCAGTTGTCCGACGATGTCGCGTCGGACGGCGTCGTAATCTCCGGTTGTGCTCATGATGAAGGTACGGTTTGGAGGATATCAAGGTGATTGAGAAGAGAGGAGAAAGAGAAGAAGATATGAAGGTATTCAGGATGGCGACCAACACATGCGCTTCTGCGAGAACGGTGGAGCCTCGGCCTCCCGAAAATCCAAGAAAACGTCAAACCGAGGTTCTTCCCTCCGGTTATCTACTACTCTCGAATTCTGGCTTGAATACGATGGTTAAGGATAAGGCCACGAGGTATGCGAAAATTCAGTTCTATCAGATTCTAACCCCTGTATTTCTTCCTGCAGACACCGATAGATAAAACCCGACCAGCGAAATCCAACACCCGGCCGAGAAACCTCATCTCACATTCACCCCCGTAAAACGCCAGTCAACCTCGGAACTTCCCCTTCAAACAACGGACAACCGGCTCCATATCGCGGCCCAGTCTCGATTTCCCATTCTTACTGTGCGCTTTTTGATTCGCCCAACTCGCCACAAGAACCGTCGCCCGATCCCGAATTCGGCCGTAGCGGTGGCCGCGCTTTTGAACCCTTCGATGTCTTCTCCATCAAAGCCTCTCGCAAAACCTGCACTATCTCCGCAAACTCGCTCTGTATCCGCCGCCGCTCCGCCCGCCAGAGTCGCGCTCGGCGCTGGTAACGCTCGACCTTCCGCTCGAGTTTCCGCTGGTGTGCACGGTCGTGGCGCAGGATGACCCTGATGAATTTGTGCATCGGGGCCGTGTTGTCGGCGTCTAGATTGCCGTTCTCGATCTCTTGCGAGACTGTGATCATGGTCGTTGTCATCTTCTTGGCAATGGAGTCTATCAATGCTGTCCTTTGGTCGGAAGTTAGGGAGGGGAGGTTTCGGAGGGCGGAGATCGTGAAGGGGGTCATTTTGCCTTGAGATGTAGGTGTGTAGATGCTTGGTTTGTAGAAGAATGGGTTGAGTGGTAGATCAGTAGATTGTAGAGGTGGTTGTATGCTGCCCTGGTTAGCATCTGGATATATATCTGTCGCGGAGACAAAGAAGTAGTTCTTCAGCCGCAGCAAACGCCATCTGCATGCACCTTATAACACCAGAGTACACCAAGCTTTACTCTCAGTACCAAGTAGTGAAACAATAAAGCAATGGCCAGTCTAGCACCATCTACAGATCATTTCTGTCTACTACTCTGCTCTGTATACGTTGTACCTGTATAGGGCTAGCCCTCCCCCACGTGTTTGCACCGTTTGCCTCAAATTTTCTCCCAAGCATCATACAAACTCCGACGAGCCCCTCACGGCCATCACTGCTCAAACCGCCAGGAACTAGACCAGGCCGAACCGTCGGATAGTCACAATGTCAGCCCATCCGCGGATCGAAGAACTCCCCGACGACTTCGACGAGTCGCTAGACCTCAACGCCGTTCCCCCGCAACCAACGACCCCGCCCACCGCAGGCCCCGAGCTGCCCGTCCCCGGAAACGAAGAACGCCTGAAGCAATTAGAGCAGGATGGACAGGGGCCGAAGCTTCCACCCGCTATGGCGGCCGTGGAGTCGCATACGACAGATGAGCTCGCGGATATCCTGAACAAGACGCCGCTGTTTATGACGGATATTAGCAAGGCGGGGGATGAGAGTGAGTTCACCTAGTCTCCCCGAAACGAGGATAAGAGGAGTACTGACAGATACGCGGATAGACGGCGAGAATATCATGTTAGATGCGCTCCGTGCGCTCCAGAACGAGGGAACGCGCGGCGACGTCGCGCAGAATTTCCGCGAGCAGGGCAACGAAGCGGCGAGGGAGAAGAGGTGGATCGATGCGAAGGAATACTATACCAAGGGCCTTGCGGTGCTGCGGTCCAAGGAGCAGAAGTGGGATAAGCCTGAGGATGAGAACGAGGAGGAGAGGCTGCAGCGGGAGGTCGAGGAGGCGTCGTATATCAACCGGGCGCTGTGCAACTTGGAGCTGAGTACGTCAATACCCTGTTTGGGAGGTCATTAGGTATGACCAGATACGTTGGCTAACGTGATGATGTGCAGAGAACTACCGCTCAACGACGCTCGACTGCGCCGCCGTCCTAAAGCTGAACCCCAAGAACGTCAAAGCCTACTACCGCTCCGCAATGGCGCTCTATGCGCTCGACAAGATCCCTGAAGCCGAAGACGTTGCTGCCCGCGGCTTGACGCTCGACCCAAACAACAAACCCCTCCAAACCGTCTCGTCCAAGATCGCCGACCGAAAAGCCTCTCTCGAACGGATAGCTGCGAAACGCAAAGCCGAGGACGAGCGGACGAAGAAGGAGAAGTTGCTACTGAGCACAGCCCTGCGTGCGCGCCAAATCCGCACCCGCAAGACCGGTCAGCCGCCTGAGATGGAGGACGCGAATATCAGACTCACGCCTGACCCGCTCTCGCCGGAGAGTACGCTTGAGTTCCCGACCGTGCTGCTGTACCCGATGGACGCGCAGTCCGATTTCATCAAGGGATTCCCGGAGGCGACGTCTATTGAGGACCATCTGGAGTATATCTTCCCGCTGCCGTGGGATACTAAGAAGGAATATACGATTCAGAACGTGGATTGCTACATGGATACGCACACTGGTGGCCTTATCAAGGCGGGCAAGAAGCTTCCGCTCCTGCAGATTCTCAGCGGGAGTAATGTGGAGGTTGTGGATGAGTTGGTGAAGATTTACGTCGTTCCTAGCCAGAAGAGCAAGGACTTTATCGCTGCAATCAAGGCGAGGAAGACGAAGGCGGGATGAACAGCGACTCATGACCACGAAAGACACTATCTGGACGATTTGGTCGACCAACTGCCACGGTGAGCTCTTTTACGGCTAGTGCTTTCACCCATTCACGGTGCCCTGGGCTACGCCGGTTTCTCCCTGCGAGTGCAGCTGCGCGCACGACTTAGAAACCGCAGCTACGTTCCCTAAGAACCGGCGCTGCTGCGATGCATAGACATCAACATCACACCACCAGATGGCTCTCAAGTACAGCGCATCAAGTCACTCCAGCTCCGCTACTAGAGTTAGAATACATATGAATCAACTCAAGTCCAACAAACAACCAGTGTCGAAGGCAGAGTCCACTGCCAAAGCTTCTGAAACAAACCTGCCGTTGTAGTTTTGACTACTTGTGACCCTGTTACCCTTTGTACAAAGCCATCACGAGGGCGGCTTGTACTACTGGCCTTTTTTTTTCGACACCTGGAGAACAACCCAGCTGCCTTGAACTGTAGAAGCCTCAAAGGTGTTAAACACAGCACATGCACTGCATACAAAGCCTGGGACACTCATATGTCCCCATCGGCCTTCTCTCTTGGGCATGGTTTGGAGCTTTAATATTACCCTGGACGGTAGCACCGAGGCGACATAAATGCTCCATCCTCTCTGCAGAGTAGCCTTGCATTATCAAATCCCGTCATCTCCAAGCTTACTTCCATCTAGTTAGGAACCACGGTAGATATACCAAAATGCGCCTCCTAGCCACCACCATGATCTCCCTGCTCGTCTTGACAGCTGCAGCTGTACGTCCTATTCCCATTCCCACCCATTCCCCCATCCCAAATCCATCCCTAACAAAGCAAATCCAGAACCCAACCCCCTCCAAAATCACCCCTGATCTCAACAACGCCGCCATCGACCCGAGCCCGAACGCCCCCGAGGCTCACGAGTACAACGCCACACACTAACATGCTACAACGACTGGAAACTCGGCGCATCTAGGAGAGGCATCGTCCACGACATCGTCCACCTACATAAAATCAAGGGGAAGCCCAGACTCGACCACCATTCCTGCAAGTGCGTCAGCTGTGAATGGCAGGATTCGATCCACTGGTGTAATGACGTGAGTTCCAAGGTTGACTCTACCCATACCCGTACGCGGAAGGACATCGGATGTGTCTGAGTTCTGGGTAAGGGGTGTGGTGATGCGATTATTGTTAACTTTTGATAATAATAGGACGAAGAACCACGGTCCCTGCCGTCGTTTGGTAACATTGCGGACGGCGCACAGGTGATTATGGAGGGGTGCCACGATGGCGACCACAGGCATTTGTTTGGTGGGGAGCTGGATCATCCGGATAAGTGGAGGGTTATTGTTAGTAGGCACCCGACTTGTTAGAGTAGAATATGCACTTGAGATGGCGAGTATGATATATTCGAAGTGGAAGTGAGAGAGGTATGAAGATCACTTGACTAGTAAGTATGGCAGGTATAGCTATTGGCATTGAGGCACTGGTGAGTGATCATTATATATTATCGATTATTCCATATCTGTCATACTCTATACTTTATACATCAGGGATGAGATCATCCCTTTCTCTCTTTCCTTTACATCACGCTAAAATGGCAAGTAACCGCCAACTCCCCGCGAAACGAAACCGAGACCAGATGAAAGTAGGAAACGAAAGACAAACAACGTGAAGTCCAGAACAAGGAAATGCTGTGGTGTCTCCATTGGACGATTCCGAAACCAACGCCAAGGAATCAAAGAGAAATGGAAAGACCGGGCGAATATAGTACAGAAGTAGTAGTGTACAAGGGAGCCAGCGTGGTTAGTAGTCGAAGTAGTATGGCTGGTGGCCATTGTGCGGGACACTCTGAGAGAGATGATGAGGAGGGATGTTTGCGTAACCCATAGAGAACGGTTGCATTTCAAGGGTTGGTGCCGGCTGGTGGTAGCCGTACGTCGGTGGTGTGGGATACTCAAGAGCGTAAGGGGAGGTATGTTCTGTGCCGGGGTGTCTTATGGATGGGTTGATTGGTGGTAATGTGGCAGAAACTGGGATCGTGGAGGAATATGTCTCCCAGGTAGTTGAGGCTGCCGGCATGGAAACGGGGGTGATGGGGGTTGGAGTTGCTGCGTACTCTCGTCGAACAAGAGTGTCACCGGTTGAAAGAGAAGAAGAGAAGACGGAGGTATGAGACTCCAGATTCGGGACGTCATCGCGGTATGTGTCGGACATGGGTATTGAGTTGGCTGGTGAGTAGAAAGATGTTTGGGTGTCTGGCATGTCTGGAAGATGGACGCGGGAGACGCATACAACTGTTTGGGCGTCTGCCGGGTGTTAGTGACTGGCATCAAGACGACAAGGTACGGCATACCGGAGCGGCCTTCGAGGTAACGTTCTTCTTCCCCGCGGACCCGGTAGATCTCATCCAAGATCTGAAGACGTTCAGGGGGCGCGATTTGGCGGCGGATGGCTTGGTCGGCTTCCCTGAGCTTTTCGACGCAGATGCCGTGGCTATCACGGAGTTCGCACAGGATGTAGACGAGGAGGCGAATCCGCTCTGCGATGATCAGCATTGCTTATGAGAAGTTCGTTTGGAAGCCTTACCCGGCTTCAGGAGGTGGTCTGGTTCTTTATGCGTCACTCCCGCACTCGCAGGCCACCAGGGAGGTCTTGTCTCTTCAGGATCAAACTGCTGGGAAACACCGGCAACGACCTTGTGGCCGTTGTATGGATAATTCACTTGCTTCCGTGGTTCAACAAGTCTGATATAGGCCTTGGCTAGAATGCGACAGTTTACCTGCTGCAGAGCCTCAAATGCCTTCTCGTAGTACTTCTGCAGAAGGCTTTCGTTCGAGACTGAAAGCATGGTTCGCGGATGACAGGTGATGCTCATTGGCATCACGTACTCGTGTGCTCCTCGCTTGCGCTTCCGGCTTGTGTCTAGAGGCATAGAGCTAGGTTTGTTAGACGTCTGATAGGATTTTCAAGCAGTCTGAAGACTCACATGAAGGAACTGGGGCTAGAGTTGGACGTAGGAGAATCTGGAGAGGACGAACTCCGCCCAGTTCGCAGGTCGAGATTAGATTCAGAGCCTGCACAGTCAGCTATTTCTTGGACAATTGGTATGGGCTACTTACCAGCCCTGCTCCCATTCTCGGACCCGGTGACTGCCTTTAGGAATAACTGGGTCACTTCCGAGGACAGTATTGAGTGGGCGTCATTGGCAATCGACGGGGAGGCTTCGAAGCGCAGTTTGCCACATTCGTCAATATAGAGTAGTGCAAAATGATGGGAGGCCAGGCTGTTCAAGGCCCCGTCCATTGAGGGTGGGCGTCGGGACTAGAACGTGGTCAGCCTTGTGCATCCGCGGTGTTGATATGGCAGCGTACCATATTGATAACTGAGCCAGCTGGTGAGAATGCCCAGTAGAGAACTTTGTAGAGAAGTTTTGATGTTGGAATAGCCTGGATTTGAGAAGAAAGCATAGAGGATCTGGCCGCCTTAAGAAGACGCGAAACGAGTATCAACAAGTAAAATGGTGATAAAAAGAAAAAACGACGTTCAATCCTAATACCCACTATTAGTCTTTGGTCTCCGCACGTTATAGCATGGCGAGACGCCCATAGAAGAGATAAACAACTGTATAAGGTTCGTGCACTCGGACAGTTGGTACTTCTGGCGAGACGAGATGGAAGGAGAGTGTCGACTACCTATCGTTGCCTGCTGCGAGAGCTTAGAATAAGGATATTGCCACAACAATAGTGCAAATTTGGCGGGACTCTGGGGGTCCATAGACCAGGATCATGGAACCTCGGTGCGTCTGATGCCCCAGACTAATGCACCCAAGATTTATTTTTACATCCGCACTGAGGATCTACCGGGGTTGGCATTGTGGAGGCTTAGAGGCCAGTGGTATTTCGACCAGTTGCATAGCCAGCGCTAACGTGTGAGATTGAGGTATAGCCGCGGACAGAGCTACACTGCAGTCGTCAAAGGTTAAAGAGTGGGTTTCAAAATGATGTTTTCGAGAGGCGAGTATATCGGGGCAAAGAACTCCGTAGTGCACGCTTTGCTGACTTCGAGCAAGGTGGTCTCGTTCCAATTTTGCCATCAGATCGAATGCGCATGAGGGCCGACGGGTCTCAGGCACTCACAGTCGGAGAAGCGGAACAATACATGTCGATTCAAGGTTCATCGACTCCTTCCAGCGTATTTTGCCTTTTGACATTATTATTTCGTGTCATCTTGGGTTAATAGAGTTTCCCATAGATGATATGTCCCATCTTGGATGGACCCTTGCTTCGCGACCACTGACCTGGAGAACGAGAACAAAGCGTCAATCAAACCCCGGGAAAACGCCCGCGCAGACCTGACCTGGTTCCGTGAATCTAGAGCAACTCGGACATCAAGTTAGCGGACCGGAATGAGAACCGGCATATCCGCGAGACTGGCATCCACATGGGTACGGCGAGAAACTCGAAGAGAGATATGCGGAGGCGGAACTGTATGATCCGAAAGATGCAGTGAAGGCTAGTCCTTCAAAGAATCTGAGCAGAGTCAAAGCTTATTTCTGACCAAAATGATGAAGTATTTTATCAAATGAAAGAGCCGGCTTTCCATAGCCCGCCGATCGTTCACATAAGACAATGTTGATTGCCAACTGTTGGAGGAAATTGCCTGCCGGGCGAGTAGCGATGGAGCAATTGGGCGCAATTACGTGACGAACATATTGCGTCTTGCAAAGGGAAAATCAAGCAACCCATTGTATGGTTGTTTCATCGTTGAGCCCTAGCGTCTGATCTGTCGACGTTGGATGTATGCATGACAATTAACTATGCATATCGGCTAACTGGAGACATATGACTGGTCGCGTCAATCATTGTGGCGGATCAGCCGGACAAAAGCCTATCTCTCCGAGAGTAGACCTCCGAGGACAGTGAACTGAATTCAAGATCTCGGCCTTGGTGTGAGATTCCTCTGATAACCGGTTAGCAGTGCGCAGAGGAATCTCGTGGAGAGGGTCGAACGTATTGAGGTGGGACCTCAGCCCCATTTTGATAACATTGAGACAGTGACCGGCTCGCGAAGGGTATTCTTGAGCAGAAAATAGGTGATTGCCACGCGATTGATCGTAGGGATCATGGATATTTGATAACAACGCCACAGTCATGGATGGCAAGGATGCGGCTTTCAGCCTCTCTACCTATCATACGGTGGGAACAGCCAAGGAGAGCAAAAGTACTTCAACGCTAGTGTTCCAACGGGTCCTCAAGGCTCGAGCACCTCAGATTACGAAAAGGTATGTACCAGTGCAAGGCAAGGTTCTGGGGCGTTCAGATCAACTGTCACCCTTGCCATCTATGCATTGAGCGGTTGCACTGAGTTTTCCGATGTGAAAGAGTCAAGAGTAGAAAGTCAACATGACTCGGGCAACCTGCCTGACGCATTGCTGCATTGAGGCCGAAAACGATGCAGAGGACGATGACAGAAGAGAGAGACGGGGAAGGAGGAGCTGAAGCTGCGAGTGTGGATGAGTGTATGTAATATATACACCCTGATACGCAGTCATCACAGCTGTCTTAGCATAAAGTATAAGCATAAAGTACGGAGGCGTATATATAACATTGTCACAATACCACAGACAGCCACGAAGAGGCTCACCTGACCCTCCGCACTTTTCTTACCCAGATTCCCCATTGTTGCTCATTGCCCATTATTGTCTGTTGACCGAACTGTACACTATCTCCAATATTATGCTGTAAACTATCTGCCCATTCATTCTTTCGTCTCCCATCGCCCGAGCAAGCCCATTGCATTAGTCTGCTTGCGCAAACGGCCCCAGGCTGATCGACCAGCAAATCTCTTTTGCCCCGATCTCTTCTATCAGGCTGATTCACTCTTTTTGACACCATCGCTCGTTCTGCAACCAATCATCAACTCGACTTTCTTTTTCCTGCATTCTCTACTTGAAACCCCCAGTCAGACGATCTGCTGGTCTCCCCTTTGTTCGGCCGTACGCGCTTCGACGTCGAGTCGGGTTCCGCCCACCGCAGGAGCAACGGGACTCTTAATTAACGACTGTTATTTATCATTAAACGCGCTATTCTTATCTTGCGCCTCCAAGACTCCAGGCTCCAGTCCGCGATACTACAATGGACCCCAACGCTTCCGGCTATCCAATGCAGCACAACCCGGGCTACCCTGTCCCTGCGCAGGGCAATCCGCAGCAGTTTCCGTACTATCCGAATCAGATGCCCTCCTTTCCCCAGTCGAATGCCCCCTCTCAGCCGTCTTTCGGTGCTGTACCACTGCAACCTGGTGGAGCTATGATGCCGCCGGCTTTTACCCAACAATCACCAGGTACGCTTGCATTGTTATTTTCTTTTTCTCGTGTCCCCTGAGCAGCGACCATTGCGCAATATCGCCCCGGCGGTGGAAGCGCGCTTTTGTTCTCGAACGTCATTAAATGCAATAAAAGCCGCTGACGTGTTGCCTTGTGCCTTTAGGACCTCACGCGAACTTCTCGACCCCATTCTCCCAGCCTCCCGTCACCGGTGCTTTCCCTCAACCAACAACCTCCGCGAACATCCCCGCGACTCAAGCGCAGACTTTCCAGCAGAATATGACTACGGGCCTGGCGAAGACGATGGCACCTGCTCAGCAACCGGTCATGGCCCAACAGGCTCCGGCTCAACCTACCGCCCCGGCCGTTCAATCCCCAGCAGTCCAGTCGCCGGCAGCATTGGCGCGGGAAAAGGAACGCGTTTCGGTGCTTTTGGAGATAAACTCGATGTTGCTACAGGAAGCGATCAATCTACAAACGTCAGGCAAAGCAGGCGGTCCTCCAGCCCAGCAGGGATCCCAAGAATCGAACCCGTCGCCGACCTCGGAATCGTCCGACAAACAACGGGCCCCCGAGTACGTTAACTGCATGCGCCGTTTGCAAGCCAACCTCGGGTACCTCGCTACTGTGGCAGACAAGGGCAAAAAGTCTGGAGGCGTTGTCCCTCAAGCACCCGCTATCATGACACCGCCCCCGAACCTGCCGGCCATCAATGACCTCTACACCAAGTTGAACCAGTTGTTCCCGAATGCTGCGCAAGGGACAACGAACCCCAATCAACCTGCTGCTCAAGGGAATGGAGGACCTGGCCTATCGCCCAATTCTGAAAACGTTGTGTGAGCGAGTCTTTAGGACCGCGTTTTGCACGCTTGGAATAATCAACTTGAACGCCGGAATATTGGGATACCGAAGTCCTGCGCCTTGGTGCCTCTTGAAATTGGTGGCCCAACTTTAAGGCTTTTTGGTCATACTCCGTCATTCGGTCGTACCCTACGGGACTCACGTCCTTAACGACGCAACGCGCCGGGCAACTATCTGTGCATATCTCGCTATACTTGGTTTGTACGGCCGGGACTTTTTAGGTCAAAAGTGTATATGACTTTGGCCTCCTGACATATAGTTGAGCAGGATATCTGAAGACAGGATATTTGAACGGTTGAAATATCTACCTAGAAGAGCAGCTTAGATTTGTACATAGCATCTATTTTGTGCAGCAGTCGTTGACTGTCGAGAACTTGACAGAATTCATGTACGCGGACCGTGCGCGAGACCGACGGGCATGTCACTCTGGATCCCATTCGCAGAATCATAATTATTCGCACGTAAAACGAGCAAGGCTCGTCCGTATCCCTGAAGCTCGGTCATCTGGCCTGACAATGTTTGCAGGAGGAGGGGGCCATGGCCCAATCATTGAGGCTCATGCGGCGCCTGCTCGGGCTCCGCCCAGGGCCTTCAAGGTTCCCGACCCAGGTGAGTTCGCCTGACTTTTGTCGTCAGCCTCGTTCTCAACCAGTCCAGTACCCTCCTTTATTGCCCTCTCGCTGTCCGACCTCCTTTGCTGTTTGCTCTTGTCTTTTTGCTGGAGCCTTGTGAATGTCTTGTTGGCTTCTGGCCAACAGAAGGTGCCCAAGCGTTGCTACTAACTCCACCTCTGCTCTCGCCGCTGCTGCGCCTTTTGTTTCTGCAGCATTGCCCGCGCTATCTTGTCAGCGTCAGTTTTCGCTTTCGTCGAGAATAAGCCTCTCGCGGTATTTTTCAAATAAAACTGCTCTGCCGACCCTGCTCAGCCGCGCCCCTTTTGCGCGCTGGCAACCGACCCCGACTCAGCTCCGCCGGTCATCTTCAGCCGCCGCAGCAACGCCCGATCTCTGTGTTACCAGCAAAACTCCCACCCGGTCGACGCTTTCCCGACTGCCCACGGACTCCGACCCTAACACCCGCGGGACCGTGAACGATACAACCACGAATATGAATGGGGACGGCGTCGCGAAACGCAAGCGCAACTCCATCTCCGCGGCGGCGGAGCGGCCGGTGAAGCATCTGAAGCCCGAAAACTCAACACTCACCCCTGGCGACTCTACCCCTGCCAACGGGACCGTCTACGATGTGGAGGACGAAGAAGATCTGGGCCCGTTGATGGCGATCGGGCCGACGCAGGCGGATTCGCCGGAGTGGCAGGCTACAATTGAGGAGGTTGTCAAGAGTGTCGTCTCGATCCATTTCTGTCAGACTTGCTCGTTCGACACGGAGCTGTCGATGAGCAGTCAGGCTACTGGATTTGTGGTTGATGCAGAGCGTGGATATATCCTTACCAACCGACATGTTGTCTGTCCCGGTCCCTTCTGGGGATACGTCATCTTTGATAACCATGAGGAGGTGAGTCTCGTACGCCTAGAGTATGACCAGACCTAACGTAACATGATAGTGCGACGTCTACCCCGTGTATCGAGACCCCGTCCACGATTTCGGGTTGCTCAAGTTCGACCCCAAAGCAATCCGTCACATGAAACTGAGAGAGCTGAAGCTGCAGCCCGATGGAGCTCGCGTGGGCTCGGAGATCCGGGTTGTCGGTAACGATGCGGGAGAAAAACTGAGCATCCTGTCTGGTGTCATCAGTCGACTTGATCGGAATGCGCCCGAATATGGTGAGGGTTACAGTGATTTCAACACCAATTATATTCAGGCCGCCGCTGCAGCTAGCGGCGGAAGTTCCGGAAGTCCGGTGGTCAATATTGAGGGAAATGCCATTGCCCTGCAGGCTGGTGGTCGTGCAGACGGAGCCGCGACCGATTATTTTCTCCCGCTGGACAGGCCCCTCAGGGCCCTGGAGTGCATTCGTCGCGGAGAACCAGTCACTCGTGGAACCATTCAGACTCAGTGGATTCTGAAACCGTTTGATGAGTGCCGGCGTCTGGGCTTGACTCCGGAGTGGGAAGCGGCGGTGCGCAAGGCGGCTCCCACTGAGACGAGCATGCTGGTTGCTGAGATCATCCTGCCTGAAGGCCCCGCGGATGGAAAGATCCTGGAGGGAGATGTGCTCTTGCAGGTCAACGGGGAGCTACTCACCAAGTTTGTTCGTCTTGACGACATCCTCGATTCCAGCGTCGGACAGTCGGTAAAGTTGTTGGTACAGAGAGGCGGTCAAGATGTGGAAGTTGAATGCAATGTCGGCGACCTGCATGCTATTACGCCTGACCGGTTCGTAACCGTCGCTGGCGGAACGTTCCATAACCTATCCTACCAACAGGCGCGACTCTACGCCATTGCAACCAAGGGTGTCTATGTGTGTGAAGCAGCGGGCTCTTTCAAACTGGAAAACACCCTCTCGGGATGGCTTATTGATTCTGTGGATAAGCGAAAAACGAGAAATCTCGATGAGTTTGTTGAGGTCATGAAGACAATTCCCGATCGATCTCGCGTCGTGATTTCGTACCGACACATCCGCGACCTACACACTCGCGGAACGAGCATTGTGTACATCGACCGCCATTGGCATCCGAAGATGCGACTGGCGGTCCGAAACGACGAGAGCGGCCTCTGGGATTTCTCTGATCTTGCCGATCCCATCAAGGCTGTGACGCCGGTCCCAAGAAAAGCTGACTTCATCCAGCTTGATGGTGTGAGCCAGCCCGCCGCCGCTGAGATTGTGCGCAGTTTTGTTCGTGTATCCTGCACGATGCCGTTGAAGCTGGATGGCTTCCCTCAGGCAAAGAAGACTGGATTTGGTCTTGTCGTCGATGCCGACAAGGGCTTGGTCGTTGTCTCACGTGCTATCGTCCCTTACAACCTCTGCGATATCAACGTGACCGTCGCCGACTCGATCATTGTCACGGCGAAGGTCGTCTTCCTTCATCCTTTGCAAAACTACTGTATCATCCAATACGACCCTTCCCTGGTACAAGCCCCTGTCCAGAGCGCAAAGCTCAGCACGGAGTTTATCAAACAAGGACAGGACACTATCTTTGTCGGCTTCAACCAGAACTTCCGCATCGTGGTTGCCAAGACGGCTGTAACTGATATCACGACGGTTTCTATTCCGGCCAACGCTTCGGCACCGAGGTACCGTGCGATCAACCTTGACGCGGTGACTGTAGATACCGGGTTGAGTGGACAATGCTCGAACGGTGTCCTGGTTGGCGAAGACGGCGTTGTCCAATCTCTTTGGCTGAACTACCTTGGTGAACGTACGCCAAACTCCCACAAGGATGTTGAATACCATCTCGGATTCGCGACGCCATCGCTGCTGCCGGTTGTCAGCAAAATCCAGCAAGGCGTCCTGCCGAAGCTGCGGATCTTGAACATGGAGAGCTACGTTGTGCAGATGAGCCAGGCGCGCATCATGGGAGTCTCGGATGAGTGGATTGAGAAGGTGGCCAAGGCCAACCCGGCTCGCCACCAGCTGTTCATGGTGCGCAAGGTTGACTGCCCACCGCCAGAGTTCAAGTCGACAGGCGACAGCTTCCAGGAGGGTGATATCATCCTCACACTGGACGGACAGCTGATCACTCGCGTGTCCGAGTTGGACATCATGTACGAGAAGGAGATGCTAGAGGCGCTGATTGTGCGCAATGGCGAGGAAATGAAGATCCAGGTGCCTACTGTGTCGACGGAAGATCTAGAGACCGACCGAGCGGTCGTTTTCTGTGGTGCTGTGCTGCAGAGGCCACACCACGCCGTCCGCCAGCAGATCTCCAAGCTGCACAGCGAAATCTATGTCAGCGCAAGGGTATGTTCGCCTACCATTTTTGTTAATAATACATGCTAATGAACGCAGAGCCGCGGATCCCCGGCATACCAGTACGGCCTCTCACCCACCAACTTCATCACCGCCGTCAACGGCGTCCCAACACCAGATCTCGACCGCTTCGTGGAGGAGGTCAAGAAGATCCCAGACAACACATACTTCCGCCTTCGCGCGGTCACTTTCGATAACGTGCCGTGGGTGGTCACCATGAAGAAGAACGACCACTACGTATGTCCCCGTCTGAAACATCTCATCATCCAACTAACTGTGTCAGTTCCCCATGTCCGAATACGTCAAGGAAGAGTCCGAGCCGCTCGGGTGGAAGTCGATCTCGCATGACACTCAAGATAAGGAAGGGGTAGCTCCGGATGTGGCGAACTTGAACCCGGACGCTATGGACGAGGGGCTGGAGGGTGTGAGCGATATAGAGCCGGAGGCTGGGGTTGTATAATAGATCTGGCGCCACGCCGTGTTTTCGGTGGATATACATAATCATCATAGCGGTGCTTAGGTAGTTTCGTGTTGATATACATATGAGGATGGGCCCATCTACGCTCATGGATTACCGCGAATACTCCGGACCTCAACTCATTACTCAACGTACGGAACAGCCTCTATCACTAATCAGATATAAAAGGAGGCCTTACATGAATGGACGTCAGCTTATGGCACCTTCGCGTCCTAGCAAGTCCTACATCCGCACATTTCCGGATCAATTGGCTATTCGCCCTTATCCAGGCCTGATCAACGCAGAGTATATTAGCCTACTCCATTACTAGCTCCTTACTGCTGTCTCACCAGATAAGATGGCTCGGAATGGAGCGGAACGGCGTCTGCACCGGCGCGGAATTCGTTCCACTGCCAAGCGTTTAGTATAACACGCCTGCTTATAAGTCGACGATGCCTCGAGGACACGGGTGCGTCTTACAATCTTTGAATCTCGAGTGATTGTCGCATTCAAGCGCATTGCTTGTTGTCAAAATGGCCACCCCATCCCTCCCCGATTTCCCTACGCAGCTGTTCATCAACAACCAGGTGGGCCACCCATACCTACGAATACTAACCACCAGCAACCCACCAGCTAACGTTCGCTAATTCGTCTCGTGGACAGTACATCGACAGCACATCCCCCACCCGCCTGAGCGTGATAAACCCATACAACGAATCCCCAATCCCCCACTCCGCCCACGCCGCCAGCCCCGCGGACATCGACACCGCCGTGTCCGCCGCAAGAACCGCCTACAAAACCAGCTGGGCATCCTTCACCCCCGCGCAGCGACAAGCATGCATGCTGAGATTCGCGGACCTCGTCGAGCGCGATGCAGAGCGTCTAGCGATCCTCGAGTCCCTGCCAACCGGCAAGCCCGTCTCCCCGACAATGCAGTTTGATATCGCGCATATGGTCGAGGTGTGGAGGTGTACGTCCACTTACCCATTCCCAATCCCAATCCCTCTGACGATCCCTGAAGCTGATGATACATGAACAGACTACGCCGGCTGGACCGACAAACTCGCCGGCGAGTCCTACCCCGAGAGCAACGGGGTGTACAAGATCGTGCGGCACGAGCCGCTGGGCGTGTGTGCGGGCATCGCCTCCTGGAACGCAACGTTCCTGTATATCGGGTGGAAGATCGCGCCGGCCATTGCAGCGGGGAATTGCTTTATCTTCAAGCCGAGCGAGAAGGCGCCGTTTGGGGCGCTGGCGCTGGGCGCCCTGTTTGTTGAGGCCGGGTTTCCGGCGGGCGTGGTCCAGATTGTGAATGGGGGTGCGGAGACCGGGGCGGCGCTGGCGGGGCATATGGGGGTTGCGAAGATCAGTTTTACGGGGTCTGTTGGGGGTGGACGGGCTGTGCAGGAGCTGGCGACCAGGAGTAATCTTAAGAAGGTTACGCTGGAGCTTGGGGGGAAGAGTCCGGCGGTTGTGTTTGGGGATGTGGAGTTTGAGAAGGCTTTGGGGGGGTATGCTTTCCCTTTTTGAACTATGCGGTGGTGTCGAGTGAAGTGGGCTAATGATGGTAGGGTCTGCGGCTTTCTCTTTAACTCGGGACAGGTCTGCGTTGGTACGTCTCTCCATATCCATACCAGCCCTAGCCTTCCCATCCCCCTTGTCTTCACCAGAACAGAAACTGATACAAGAACAGCAACATCCCGCGTCCTCGTGCAAAAACCGCTCTTCGAAAAATTCACGGCAGCCATCAAGTCCGTCTTCGAATCTACCTCCGAAACCATGGGCACCGACCCGCTCGACAAAACGACAACGTACGGCCCCATCGTCGACAAAGCGCAATTCGACAAGATAATGTCCTACATCGCCATCGGCAAGAAAACCGCTACATTGCTGACCGGCGGCGAACGAAAAGGCGACAAGGGCTTCTTCATCAAGCCGACTATCTTCGTCAACCCGGACCCCGAGAGCCCGATTGTGAAGGAGRAGATCTTCGGGCCTGTCATGGTAATCCAGCAGTTTGAGACGGAGGAGGAGGCCGTTCGACTTGCGAACGGGAGCGTTTACGGGCTTGCTGGTATGCTTTTCTCCCCCTTCCGTTGCTTGTTATATGTGGGAGTGAGTGCTGACGAGTCCAGCGTCCGTGTATACGTCGAACATCGACCGCGCGCTGCGCGTGTCGAGTGCCCTGGAGTGCGGTGGCGTCGCGGTCAACTCGCCGTTCCTGCCGCAGGTCAATACGGCGTTTGGGGGGATCAAGGCGAGTGGGCAGGGACGCGAACTCGGGCTTTATGGGCTGTTGGAATACACGGAGGCAAAGAGTGTGCATATCAAGTACGTCCTTTCTCCCCTTTGATTTGGTCCGATGAGAGTCTGGATTGCTGACAGTGGTATAGGCTTGATGTACCCAAGTTGTAGGGCGGAATCACCTACATAGTCTCCTTAGCTGCGTATATTTTATGGCAAAAACAATTGACGTGATGTCCAATTCATTGATGTCGCGGATACACAGCGGGATAGTTCCGCTTGTTATACTGCTGATCCGCAAGCTTATCCATCCATCGTCTTAACTCGTGAACTAGAGGGATCCATTGTACTCTGCAGAATAGGGTGTCTAAGTAGTGTAGATGGCCATTGCATCTGCATGGATAGTTCATGAACAAATCAGCAACCATTCCATGACCCTCAATAATCAACAATCAATATCATCCGCAGGGACCACCCCACTCCTAGTAACTGTCACCCCGCCATGTCAACCGAGCAGGTGGAGTAGGCAACACTAGTGAGGGGTCTTCTCCAACTCCCATTTTCATCCTCTCAATTAACAATCCCCTATCTCCAGGAAAAACCGCTGCAATGCCAGCCACAAAAGCAATCATCGCCCGCGACCCGCGCTTCACAGCCCTAAACTGGGCATTGGAGGACGTGGCCGTCTCCGATGCCCCCGGCGACAACGAGGTCCTGGTCGAAATGGTCGCGAGCGGCGTCTGCCACACCGACATTGTGCTGTCTGCGGTGCCGCCGGGCCAGGTTGGCGTTTTGTATCCGAAGGTTATGGGGCATGAGGGTGCGTCTGCCACAGTTTCTTTCTATTTGGGGGAGAGAGGGGGGAGTGCTAACAAGCGTGTACCACAGGATCCGGGTACGCGCGCAAAGTCGGCAAGAACGTCACGGGCGTGGTGGAGGGGGATCCAGTCCTGCTATCGTTCTACAGCTGCGGGAAATGCGAGCAGTGCGAAGAAAAACACCCGAGCTATTGCGACGCGTTCGCGAAGGAGAATTATGGCGGGCGGAAGGGGCATGTCACCATCACCAACACAAACACATCCTCTACCGGTAACGGGAACAGTGGCGACGGGGAAGAGGTCTACTCGCGGTTCTTCGGGCAGTCGAGTTTCGCGCGGTACAGCATCGTCGACGGGGCATGCATCGTGAACGCGAAGGACCTGCTACAGAGCGACGACGAGCTCGCGCTGTTCGCGCCGCTGGGGTGTGGGTTTCAGACGGGGATGGGGGCGATTGAGAATGTTGCGCGGCCGGATGCGAATACGGTGCTTGTTGTGCTGGGGTTGGGGAGTGTGGGAATTGCGGCGTTGATGGTGGGCATTCCTTCCACCTCAGTCTCTGATTCTTTTTGATGGGATGCTAATGTCATGCTCATAGACTGCAGCCCTTCACCCTCACAAAGCGATTATCGGCGTTGATCGTCTTCCGTCGAGGCTGGAGCTTGCGAAAGAGCTGGGCGCTACGCATACGATCGATACGTCGCCGCCGGGGTTTAACCTTAACAAAGCGCTTCGCGAGATCTTCCCCAATGGCGTTTCGACAGTTATTGATACGACGGGGGCGCCTCCGCTCATTGAGGACGGCTTGAAGAGTCTGAGGCAAAGGGGGAAGATTGTGCTTATTGGGGTCACGCCGATGCAGTATGAGCTGGGGGTTAGCGTGGTCCAGCATATCAACGTATGTCATTTTCACTGAAGAACATGGGGTTCTGCTAACGGAGATATGTGCAGAGCGGTAGGGCCGTCATTGGGTGTATTGAGGGCGATTGTATACCGAGCGAGGTGAGTATCCAGCCCCCGTTGCGAAGGACAACAGAAATTAACGGACGAGCAGGCAATTCCAAAACTGATCCAGTGGTACCGCGAGGGCCGGTTCCCGATCGACAAGCTAATTAGTTACTTTGAGGTGCGTTCATCAGCCCAATCTCTTGTTCCAGCTCTTGGCTACAGGACTGACCGAAAATGATAGGCGCACGATTTCAAAAAGGCATTGGCTGGATTAGATGACGGGTCTGTGGTCAAGGCTGTTCTCAAGTGGAAGGATGTATAGTCTTTTCTATTTTCTAGGTCCGTCCCAGATGTCGGGGCTAGGGCTGATATCCCTATGCGGACTGCATCCTGACCAATTAAACAGTAGCCGGGCTTCGTGAATAAGTAGATATAGGAAAGACCAAGTGCCGCCAAGCTGGCTTAGTTCTCAAATGAGGCCCCTGCCTAAGCCTCTTGGTTAGCTGATGTAGTTGGGACCCCGCCCCAGCGGCACAGCACACGCCGGCGCTTAACAACCATCAACCCATCTGCAGGGGAAAGGTAGACCCTGTTTCAAAGGCTAAAAGCCAGCCTATCAGACCTCTTCAAGCAAGCTCTCCAATCTATTCTTGAATAGCCCCAGGAGTTTGACGCAGTCGGCAGCTACCCTCGTTCACGCATTAGATACTTCTAACCACCCACCGCGCCATTACATTCCTTTTCTTTCCCCCTTCTCTCCTCCATCTCGGTGATGAATCTTACAAACCACAACCAAAATGAGCATGACCCAGCTTGAAACGCAAACGCAAACAAGCGTCGACGACTCCTTCAAAGAGGCCGCGCCAGCCCGGCATACACAGCCGGGCCTGGAGACCGTGTGCCTGGAGGGCCAGGGGCCGGGGTATCGATATTCGCAATCTATGGAGCTACCGCCGCCCCCGCCGAAGAAGAAAATGCTGTGGTATTGGGTTGTGCTCGGGGCTGCGGTGCTGGTGATTGCGGGGTTGGCGGTTGGGCTGGGAGTTGGGTTGTCGGGGAGGGGTATGCGGTCTGATTCAGTTTGCTGCTGAGGTTAAGTAGAGTAAATGTGATGCTAATGGAGGGCAACAGACTCAGATAAGACGGCAGCTTCAGCTTCGGCGTCAGACTCGGACGCAGACTCGGACTTAGACCTCCCAAACAACGCCACGACAACAACGATATACGCCTCAGCAACACCCTCCTCCTCCTCAAGCTCCTCCTCCTCTCCTTCTCTCGATTCCACCCCCTCCACCCCCTGCCCCACCGCAAACAACACGCTCACAACGCAGTCTCTCGGCTCCAAGAAATACCGCATCTACTACGACAGCGACTTCAGCGGAAGCAGCAAGAAGACCCTTGCGTCGGTCGTTCTGTCCTCCTTCGACGAGTGCCTGGGGCTGTGCAACACGATGAACTGGTTCCAGGGGCGCAGCGATGTCGGGGCCACGTTTAATGTTCAGGGGACGGGCGGCCAGACGCCGGGGACTTGTTGGTGTCTGGGGGGCACGAGGGGGAGGGTTGGGAATGTGGGGAATGATGTGGCGGTTCCGGTTGATGGGGAGTGATTGGATCATGGCATGGATGGGGGGTTCTTTGGTTGGTTGTGGGTTTGATGGGTTGATGAGGGGTGGTTGGGGCGTTGCGTGGTTAGGGCTTGTTTAGGAGATACCCTCCCTAGGTGCATCGGTCGCATGTATACACACCAGAAGTACTAGGGCATATAGAGATTCATTGCCGGTTACTCATCCGACAACGACTTTGTTACTGTCCGATAGTAGTTCTAGTAGACCAGGCAGATGGCTTAGAGTCAAGGAAGTTAGGGCTACCGGGTTCCCGTGATCCAGACATCAGCCCCATCCGCCATATCCTCGACCGTGGCCTGAGAAGTCCGAGCATTACTTGGTCTCGATACCGGAGAGAGCTCAAAGCTCAGCGGCCAGTCCCAAAATCCTATGCAGCAACGAAACAACCCTGTTCTCGCCATCGTTCGCGTTGGTGTACAGGTAATGGTACAGGACCTGCTCCGGGCATAGTCAGTTAGCAAGGGACTCTATCAACGCCGCTGGGTAGGGGTGCCTAAACAGGTCCTGAGGCAGTCTTACCCTCGCATTAGCATCGAGGCGTAGAAAAGTCCACAGATAACTGTCTGTCGCTATTCCATAGATCGGGTTCACGGGTCGCCCTGTCTTCTTGCGCGCATGGTGTAGCATCGCTAAGTGTAAGTGTCAGCCTCTGTTACCAGACCAAGGAAGTACCTTGGACAAGCTACGAAAAATCTGCACATACCCATGTAGGAGAGAGCCTGGTACACGCAAGGACCACTCCCGCCCAAGGTTTTGGCCTCGACTATTACGAGGTTGGTCTCGAGCTCTTCGTGGCTGCCGTACAGCAAGTAGTAGTCCAGCTGGCCGCTCAGGTCGTAGATCTTGCCGTCCAGAAGCTTCCACGGCATACTTAGCGCGGTCTCGTACTGCCAGTGCAGGTTTTTATACGAGTTGCTCTGGGCCGAGGAGCGGTGATCGGCCTGTCCATGTGCACCTGCAAGATCCTGACGTTTCATCTCTGCTAAGATGGAGACAAGGATGGTGGCGATGCGGGATCGGATTTCGGCCTCGACATCGGCCTTGTTCCACCTTCGTCCGTTGAAGAGGAGATCGTGGTCGGCCAGCATCTTCTCTGATCGCGGAGTTAGATCCTAGCTGTGAACAGACAGGACAAGAACTTACTGGCGTGCTCGGACAGCTTGCGCTCCTCCCCCGGACGGATCTCCCAGATATCGGCGGGACTCTCCCTGTCGTCCTGTAGACCGAAGATCGCATGGACTTCGCCGGGGTCCAGGTCCGTCACGGCCTTGGTGGGATAGTCCTTCTTCTCCGCCGGCTTCTTCTTATTCTCCTGAGCCGCCCTCTCTCGCTCTTGGTTCTCGGCATCGCGCTCCTGGCGGGCACGGGCGATGAAGTCCTTCAGCTTGGCCTCGAATTCGGGGTCCGGGGAGTGATGCAGGCCGCGGTAGACGTCCTTCGCCCTCTGCTCGAGTCTCTCAGACCAAGGCATGATGGAATCTTCGGGAGGAATTAGCTTGAGGTGATTTGGGAGAGGAGCTTAAGTACTAACCACTATGTACCTGGGAAGAAACACCTGCCGATGACAACGGATACCAGCCTTGCATGCGCAACAGGCCAAACGAAACCGCATTGTTCATTATGCTGCTGACCTGACTGACAATAGCCTTCTGATGGCCATCAAGCCATTGCAGTTCGATTTCAGACCACTATCCAGCTCCAGTTAGCCTTGCATCGACGGAGACAAAGCAATCTCGAACCTCGTTATTCCCACCAAAGTACAAAAACACCCATTGCAATCCATCCGTCAGAATCCCATGAAGCCCAGCACTGGGAGGGCTCTTTTCCCGACTGTGTTTGATTATGGCTGCAAGACCGGTTACCGGTATTCTCCAACGCGCCTCGCAAGACAACCATATACGGAAATAGGAATGACTCACACATAACAGCTTTAGCAGACCAGCACTCCTGTTCAAAACCACATCCCTTCTCCATCCGAAACACAACAAGGCTAGTCTCCGAGTCCGGCTTGTCTCGGCCGCCATTCCATTGTCTGTAGTCTTCTGCGCACTGCAGGACGTCACCCGGCTTCGTGAACGCGATAGGAAGCTTGACAATCCGCCCATATTCCTCGACAAGCACCTGCAGCGTTTCGGGATTGACGCCGTCTCGCACCTTTCCTATGGCTTGTACTAGCGAGTGGTGGAGGATTGCAGAGACCCGAGACCAACTAGGGACAGGGGCACCCCCAGCGTCCGATAGGCGCAGGTCTTCCAACAATGCGTACGAGCCAGGAGATGAGTCCGACTCGAGGTCGGTAGACCTTGCGTCCGCATCCAGTTTGTCCTGGCTTTGCGGGCCACTGCTTGCTTTCACTGCGCGCGAGTCCGTCAGTGCAGCCTCGCCGTCCACACTGGCTTCCGGTTTGCTCTTGCTGGACTTGGACCCCATGGTTGTAAGTCGAGGAAGATGGGCGAACCTTGAACAATCGAAGAAAACGCGGCGAGGGAATGACTCGACCCTTTAACTTTTTCTTTTCCTCTAGGCTGCTGGGAGTCAATCCCGGCCAGTCGCCCCTTGACTCATCAGTTGCAGGTAACTACTTTCGGCTGGATAAACACACTATGGCGGCTTGATAGTGGCTAGTACTGTAGTTCCAGTAGAAAGAGAAATCGCTGGATATTGGGTTGATAGATGACTACAGGTCTCCGCCGAGTATAGAGTATCGTGGACAACCCACTTGACCAGAGAGTCACTTTGCGCTACTAAAACCATCCGACAGTTGGTGGGTCGAGGTGAATTATGCAGACAGGCGGCAGAGACTTTTGAACAAGTTGAACTGTAGGTACAGAGGCCCAAGACGTATCCATGCATGGAGATGGATAAGCATTCACGACCAGTCATGACTGTAGCGGCATAGATACCCACATGGTGTCTCATGCGACAGAATATAAAGTTCGTTTATGAGGAGGAGGATATAGAGCAGGAAAGAAGTCAAGGTAGTGATTTCAGACAGAAACCACGATTAGCCTGGGGGTCGTTGTTCAGTATCCTCCAAGTTCCCTTCCGCACGGTACCATCAGGACGATTCAATGTCAGGCAAGGCAGTCGCGACCCCAGACCTAACTCTGCTTCCCCAGCTGTTGCATCCTGTCGATCCACTGCCCGTCCTCCAGCTCCCCCTGGACAACGCCGTCAATAACATCCGGCCTATATCTAGATATAGACGCAGCCGTAGCAAACCCCGCCTCAATCTCCTCAAGCGTCTTCCCCGCAGTCTCCAGGCAAAAGAAGTAAGCTGCACACGGTTAATACACCTCTTTCTCCGCCAGAAAGTATGCACTGCACTGAAAGTGCTGGCCAACTCACCAAACGGAATTTGCAGAAAATTGCAAACAACAAACAGGAGATATATCCGCCACCGCGTCTGCTCAATCGCCACGGGCGCAATCATAACCGTCAGGAACGTCATGGCCCACTGCGCCAACACGCCCAGCGAGGCATTGATATGCCGGAACGGCAGGGGCGAGATCTCGGGGCTGTATTCCCAGACGACGGAGCACCAGCTGGAGCCGTAGATGCTGGCGGAGGCGGGCTGTGTTAATAGGTGGAACGGAGCCCTGGTTTACAGATGGGAGGGGACGTACAATTGGAATGAAAATAGCATGGCTACGGCGCCCCATGACGCAGACGGGGTGTTTAGCGCTAGGAGGACGGTGAAGAGGAGCATTGTTGTGAAGCAGCCGCAGGAGCCGAGGAGCATGAGGCGGCGGCGGCCGAGCCGTTCGATCAGGTATACGTCGGGGAGGGTGCCGAGGAGGAAACAGATTGCTGAGAAGCCGGCGAGGAGTTTTGATAGGTTGGTGGGGAGGCCGATGGAGGTTGAGAAGAGGGTTGTTTGGTAGTAGGCGGTTATGTTACAGCCGCCTGCGGTGCGTTAGTATGGGAGCACCAGTGCCAGTGGCAGAGGATAAGAATAGATCTATGGGATGGGAGGCTGACCGAGCTGCTGCAGCGACTGCAGGGTAATGATGAGAAGCAGCCTGCCCCGATTCTGTGCTCCCAGAGACTGTAGCAGGAGGGACTTCGCGCCGGCTGTGGCTGTGGGCGTCCGTTGCTGCTGCTGCTGCTGCTGCTCAGAGGCGATTTCCCGAAGGATTTCGGTGCGCTCTGCGGCGAGCGCAGTACTCGTCTCCGTATCCCCTGGCAGGGCAGTGTCTGCTCCTTCAGTGCCCCCATAAAGCCGGCGTAACACTTCATCCCCGCTGTTTACTTCGCCCCAGTAGTACAACACACACGGGGACTGGGGAAGCCCGAGAGCAAGGACAATCGCAACAAGCGGGTAAAAGCACTGCCACGCAATGGGGATCCGGAAGACGACCTCGCCGGATGTGAAGCCCATTCCTGTATGCGTCCAACAGACAGTCAGCGGTCGCCACTTGACATATCGCGAGGTACGGTGCCCTAATAGTGGGCATGGATAGATAGCATACCATAATTCACCCAATAAGCCGTAACATTCCCCGTGAGAACAAGACACAGCTGGACAGCGACCTTCTGCCCCCGCTTCCTGGCCTTCGACGTCTCCGCTAACCAGACGGGGACATTCGAGGAGACGATGCCGAGCCCGATGCCCGTGACGATGCGGAACACCACCAGCTGCACGATGTGGTAGACGGCTGCTTGGCCCGCGCCGCCGAGGACAATCAACATGCAGCCCAGGATGACCGCGCGCCGACGGCCTAGAGCCAGGCCGTAGATTCCGGAGATTGCGCAGCCGATCTGGCGGGTTAGACGCGTACCATGCATGTGCAGCAGGGGAGGGGAAGAGGGGTGTGAGGCCGACGTACCATGCACCCGACGTCAAAGATCGACACGACTAGGCCTTGGATAATGGCGTTGGGGTTGTTGATTGTATCAAGGAACTGCGGCTGCCCGATGATCCCGCCCAGGACGCCCTGGTCGTAGCCGAGGAGCGTGAAGTAGAATGCGCCGGTAACGACGATAGCGGCGCGGAGGGGAGCGCCTTCGAGGCGATTCATGCCGAGCATTTCGAGCAAGCAGGTAAGGCAGGCAGTAGACTCGAATAGCAGCCACTGGGCAAGAGTGCTTGCTATCGAAGTCGTGTAGAGAGCCATCCGCTTTATAGATATCCCCGGCCCTCCCTTATCATCTGGTGCATGATAGTATAGAGTCTTAGTCGGTAGGACACTGGTACCATCTTGATAACAGGTCTTCCCCCGGCATTGGCTGTCGAGGATGTGATGGAACTGGCCGGGAGCGGAATGTAGATTCCTATCGGGTCCACCGGGAAAAGACCACTCCAGGCCATCAGGATTCGATTCCATCCTTCCTCCTTCAATCCTCTCCATCATCCAGGCCCTTGTGCTCTGTGCTTCCTGATGAAGTGAAGCTGAGTGCCGTAGACTCGGAAGACAACCTGTAGAGAAGATGGACATCAGTGCTCATCATCATGCCGTTTTGCAAAGAATGCAGTTGTATCAACGCACCATCCACTCCATCTCTGGGCACCTCGCCGGTTCCAAAGCGGCATTGGCGGTCTCTGTGCTTGGGATGTCTTAGGAGAAATTTCTGCATCGACGTGACGTGACTTGAGGTGGAGTGGAGGGCTCAGGTTCGTTTGCGGCAGAAGCTGAAGCCGTTTGAGAAGGAAAGGAACGACGACCTCCAAGCAACCAGTAACCTTGCTACCTGCCGTAACCCCCTCAGAGACGAGTTCAAAAAAAAATACAAGTAGTCTATTCCTCTTCCCTACATCATACAATGCATCGCTATGCAACCATCCAACAGCCCAGTTCCACTCCGCCGAACAACCCCTATGGCAAACTCAAAAACGCCAGAAACACCGCATACGTCGCCTCAAGCAACGCCCTCTCACCATCTGTAAAGTTCCCATTAAACACCGGGTCCGGGGTAATCGTCTCATCACTGATCCCCTGCCCAAACACCACCTGATCAACATCATGCACCTGCACGGTTTCCGGCAAAGTTCCGTCCAAAAGATACTCCCTAATTACGTTCACCAGTCCCAAACTTGCAAGACTAATCGTCGTATGCCCGGGCCCCTTTCGTGTAACCAGCTGCGAAGACGTCGGTAGCCAGCGGTGCAGACTCTGTGCACTCGTCACCGGCGTCGTAGGGTCGTGGAGGGCATTGACGATAAGCACGCTGGCATTCCTGGCCGTAAGGGCAGCATTCGTCTGAAGATTCGTCAACCTCTTCGCGCCGAAATTGCGCACGCGGGGCCGGGTATTTGGGAAATTCCGGCAGAAGGACAGCGTCGACAGATCTGCATTAAGCCAGGGCGTTCGCTCAGTCAGCGAAAGTTCCAGCACAAGCTCCGCGACCTCAGATATACTCGTCCCATTTGAAGGCGCGTTATCTGTGCACTGGATCGGCCAGCCTGCCATGGATCCCGTGTCCGGTGCACTCACGTTGACAGACGTCTCCGTCGCGCCGGTCAGCAGCTCGCCCATGACATCTGCGTCTCCTTGCTCTAGTGCACGTAATGCAGAGGCAACGGCCGGCCACGTCGTCGGCAGCTTGAGGAAAGAGTACATGAAGAAGCTGAACATGCCGACAGTGATGGACCAGGAGCCGTCGGAGACCGAGATCGGGTTGTCGTAGAGCGAGGCTTGCAGGCTAGCGAGACGCTTCGCGAGGCCAGTGCTATTTCCGCCATCACTCAAAGCGCATCCCTCCGGTCCAGCCTGCTCACAAAGCCTCGCGAAATCCCCAATTGCATCAGCGACATACAACTCATCATTCGGCAGCTGGCTCATATACGTCTCCGCGTTAGCCTGCGGATTGAACACGCCATCGAAGACAACCCGTCCCACGCGCTCAGGAAACGTCTGGACAAACTCCGCGCCGTAGATCGTGCCGTACGAGAAACCCCAGTAATTCAGACTCGCATTCTTCCCGTCCAGCGCATCAACGATCGCAACCATATCGCGCGCCACATACGCCGCGGAAGACGTATACAGCGCACTTGAGTTATACTCCGCACAATCAGCCGCAATCTCTGCTACAGACGCATCAAACTCGTTTATTGCTTTCTCGTATTCCCCGCCTGGGCTTGTATAGGTCTTGTTCCTGAACAAGCTGTACTCGATCTCCGCGGCCGCAGAGACGCTGTCACTCGCTACCATCTCTTCACCCGCTGTATCCCAACAAGCAAGCAGTGGTTTCGCGTCCCCGACACCGCGCGGGTCCCATGAAACGATGTCATAGTACCCGCCCGTAATGGTTGAGAGTCCCTCCCCCGCGCCGTTGGCTAGGAAGTCGATACCCGAGGACCCGGGGCCGCCGGGATTCGTGAGCAGTGAGCCCTTTCGTTGCGAGACTGGCACAGTCGCGGCGTATCGGGCGAGGGGGATCGTAGCACGTTGTCCGTTAGACGGGTCGGCGTATTCGAGCGGGACGGTGAGCGTCGCGCAGTCCAGGTCTGCGTTCGACGAACATGGCGTCCAGTGAAGCGTCGGCTTTGCGAGTGCCGGTGGGATCTGGAGGGCGCTGGCGAGGAGGAAAGCTGCTGGCCATCGGCGCGGCGAGGCCATGTTGTCGCGGTGGTGAGCGGAATGACCGAGCTTTGGGATCGAGATATCCCGGTTGATAGGAAAGAACGGCGATCATTATCGTGTCAAGGACCAGGGTCCGACTTCGAACTATAAGCAAATCAAGCAAGCTCTACTCGGCAAGTAGCAATTCCGAACTGCGCAAGGTGGAGCGTACTATACGTAACGTGCCCACTCTAATAGGTGCGATCTACACTTTGGCTGCAATAACCAGTGTCGATCTTGCATGGTTAGTTTGCATCCCCTGCATAAATTTGTTGATGTTGCTTGTCATGGATTAATTCTCGATTCTGCTGTACTGGGAGATTGAAGCATAGGTAGCAGGAGTAAGCGTCGAGTCCTCCATGTATCTGGATATTAGCCAGTTTCTCCGGTAGCTGTCGTTCCATAGCTTATGGCACCGCGCGAGCATCTACACACCGTCAGCCCAGAAGTGGAAAAGGCTGCAAAGAAGTGTGATGCCGCGGATTGATAAGATCATCTAATCAATCAACAAACCTCGTGAACCATGAATCCGAGGACTCCGTAAATCCGCCACCTAATGAACCGGATGACTTTCTTAGCGCGACCAAGTGAATTGGATGACTTTTTAATAAAAATAGCCTAAAGGAGTTTAGCGCCGTGTTTTAGCTAGTAATTATAGACTTATAAAAAAGCTTGTTAGCTAATAAAATATTACCATGGCTAATATTATTTTTTTTACTACTAAGGCCTTTACCCCTAAAATTTTTTAATATTTATAAAGTTAGTAAAACAAAAAACTTTGCTTTTAAACTTTTTTATTAATTTTATATATATTACTTTAATTTTACTATAACATACTTTTTTAATACCTAATATTTAAAAATAATTATTTTTAATATAAACACCACCTAGATTACCTTGTAATAACATGCTTAAAATTATAAGTATTTTTTTAATATTTTTAAGGTAAGTAAAAATATTTAGAATATTAAATATTATTATTATAAAGTAAAAAAATATAAATACTAGGTTTAAATTTAATAAACTATAGTAAAGGGGCCGCTAAAAAAAAGCTTTTTTTTATTTAATAATATTTAAATTATTTATATAACCTTTATAAAGAACCTTAAAAAAGCGCTATTTTAATAAAATAATTAATTTTTTTATAAATTAAGTAAATAATAAACAGCGTAATAACCTCCGCAAAAATATTTTAAAAGGTAAAAAAAATTAATTTATAATTATAAGCTTATAGTATGCTATAGTTATAAGGTTTAAAATAAAATTAATAATATAATTAATAATAATAAAGTTATTTTATTTAAATAAATCCCTACCTGGCTATCTTACTTAATAAACAAGAATTTTAATAAGTAATAGTATTATAAAATATATTTTAATATATTTACTTATTATTTTATTACACCAAGCGCCTTTATATAAGAATTTAAATATTATTAAAGATTTATAGTATTAAATATAACTTTTTAAAAGGCCTTATAAAATATATAATTACTTATAGCTAGCTTGCTTAATAAAAAAAATTATATTTTTTTTATAGTAATTATAATTATTTCTAGCAAGTTAAAGGATTACTAAAAATACTTTATTTATTATTTAAAAAGGCTATATAAAAATAACTTAAATATACCTTTAATTATAGTTATTTTTAACTATATAAAAGGCCTTTAAAAAGTATTAAAAAATAAATTAATAAATATAACACGCTTTTAATATATATAATACCTTTATAAAAATATAAGGTAATATTATAATAAGTATTTAAATAAAATAATAAGGCGTCTTTTTTTTTAATATATAAAGGCTTGCTTTAAAAATAAGTTTAAAACTTTAAAAGGTTTTATTAAAATATAAAATAATAAGGCATGTTAATATATTTATAATAACTTACTTATTAAGTGCTGGGTTTATTACGCCATCCCTATATTAAAATATAATTATATAACTTTAAATATTATAAAATTTTTAAACTTTTTATAAATTTATTATTATAAGTTACTTATGCTTAAGATTATATAACTTATATAAAAAAAATTTATACTAACCTTTTATTAACGCCGCGGGGCCAAGTTTAAATTAATTATATTTATTAATTTTATTATAGGCCTTTTTAAAAAAATAAATAAGTAAGTAAAAAAATTATTTATTATTATATTAAGTAACACCTTTATAAAGGTTAAATATAATAAGTATAAATATTTAATTAACCTTGCTGCATAAACCTATAGCTATATAAGGTAATAAAATATTTAGTTTTTTTATAACCACGCGCTAGCTGCTATATATAAAATAAAAAAAAATTAAAATAACTTTATTCTTAATTATTATTATATTTAAAATTATAAAAATACTTATACTAGTATTTTAAAGCTTATTTTTAGTAGCTATATAATTAAAAATCTTAAATATAAAGTATTTTTGTGTTTAATATACCACGGGCAGCCTAAAATAAAATAAATTTAAAAATATTAAAGCTATTAAAAGTATTAAAAAAATTAATTTACCGCCGCCTAGCGCGGGATAATAAAAAGTATTTATTATAATAAATATTATAAACTTAGTTATACATGGCATAGTTAAGGTTACCCTTTATTTAAATTTAACTAATATATTATTATTTTAAAGGCTAGCGGGTGTATAAAAACTTTTTATAATTTTTAATATATTATTTTTTTACTACAAACTCCTACTCCTACGCCTTTTTTATTTTAAATTCTTACTTTTATGCCTTTTTTACCTTAAATTTTTATTTCTTTACCTTAAATTCCTATACCTACGCCTTTTTTACCTTTAGAGTTAATATTAAGTTCTTTTTTAAGCTTTTTATATAAACCAAGACCTTTTTAAGTCCTTTTTAAATTTATAAAGTTAAATCTCCCACTGCTTATTAACAGGGAACTAAAAAAAATAATAAAAAAAAATATAAAAAAAAAATAATATAAGAAATTAAAGGCTACTTGGCTAATAATACTAAGGCTAAATATTAAAAAACTATTAAAAAATTCCTGGAAAAAATATTATTAAGCATAAAAAGTTATCCCTATTTTATAAAAGTTTTATATAAAAAAAATGCCTAGGCTAGAGTATTAAAGCTTTATAAAATTATATTAAAATATATTATATAATAAAAACACTATAATAGCCTTTAATATTAAGTTTATATATTAATATTATTACCTACCTAATATTTATAAGAATCCCTAGGATTAAGGGATAAATATTAAAAAGTTAATAAATTATTATTATTTTAGTTACCTTTATTATAATATTAGCTTTAAATAGCCTTAATTTAGCTATGTTAAAAAAAAACTAGTGGGTATATAAGGCTTTTATTATAGCTCTTGCTATAATTACTATAATTTATACTTTAAATAACTTTAATTTAGCCATGTTAAAAAAAAACTAGTAGGTATATAAAACTTTTACAGGCGTGTAGCACGCGTGTAAAATTATTTATTTTAAATAATTACCCTTTTTTAAATTAACTAATAAGATTCCTGCATTTTATTAATATAAATATAACTTTTAAATATTTAAAATAGCTTTAAAATACTTAGTTTAATTAAAATTATAAAAAATTAATTTTATTAAACAAGGGTACTATTTTATTTAGCTAAGGTTAAGCCTTAAAAAATAATTTTACTAGTAAATTACTAGGCAAGTTATGTGACGGGGCCAAAACAGGGCTTTGTTAAAAAGTTATCTTGTTCACTTGGTCGCGCTAAGAAAGTCATCCGGTTCATTAGGCGGTAAATCCGCTTATCTCATCCACATACGAGTCCGACATCGGGAACAGTGGACCATCTCTTCCACATTTTATTTCTTATTGAATCCCACTGATTGGCCTGAGCCTCGATCAATGACTCGCAGCCCGCCTGGGACCCTGCCAAGGCTTCGTTTGCGTATGACCTTCTCCAACCGGATTAGCCGGTTGTGCAGTGTATACTGTGCTCGAGGCCCAGGCTATGTATACACTAGACACCAGACCATGTACGTTCGAGGCGGCTTCTGTCTGCGAAATAGAGTGTGCCGTCCATCGTTTTCGCAGGGACCGTTCGCCGTGGTACATACAATAATCCGCAGATTCAGCATAGGTAAGTGGCCTGCCAGTTGAACACGGAATGCAAGTTCAACTGATGATTGTGGATCTACCGGGATACCGAACTGCGGCAGGCCGCTGGTGTAGTGCAGCGATGTTCCTCTTTACTAAAGGCAGCGATGTTCCTCTTTACTAAAGTTAAGGTGTTCGGACGTCTGTGCTCTGAAAGCCCTCGAGAACATCCGGGCCCTCGGGTTGCGTTCCAAGACAAGCGTAGAAGAACTTGTTCGGTTCAAGATGCAGAGCCTTGAGCATCGGTGCACTTGCTACCATCTCCTTCACCAAGTTAGGGGTTTCGAGCCTGTTGGTACGAGCTGAACGGTCGTCAATGTTGTGGAGCACGGTGGTCGGAGCGCTGTTGCGCTGCTCGAGGCCGTGCAGGGTCACATTCAGCTCTTCTAGTAAAGGCCGGTTGAATAGCGAAGGAGTGAGCTTGTGTCCATGATCGAGCTTCGTTCTGAGACGCGGCGAAGCTGGCCGTCTGCTGAAGAGATGTAGGGGATGTATTGAAGAAGATCAATTGGGAAAGTGTGGAGACCCGCGGGCGGGGCCCTGCGCGGAAGAACACTATCCCGGGGTAACAGCGCGCTAGCCTGATCGAGCTTAGTGGCTATGGCTCGAGTGCTTGGTGTGCAAATAGCTGCCTTGTATGCGCCCTGCTCCCTATTTAGCTGCCAGGACAGGCAAAACACCTTTTACTCCCCTGCCCGCTGCGCTCTTCTACTCAAACCACGCATTCAACACCCTGCCAACCCTCCCCCTCCTGGGCTTCAGATAAGCCGCCTCATACGCCTCAATCTCATCCCTCGTACTCCCGAGCGCCAAATCCGCCTCTCCAACACGCACATACCTCGTCCGTCTAAGAACCTTCCATCCCACCAACGCCACAACAAAAACCCCAACCATGGTATAACTCGTGAAGAACGTCGTCGTGTCCCACCCGCCCTCAATGAACACCGTATACCCCAGCACAAGCGTCATGGCAAACGTGCCCACAAGCGCATACCACGCCGCAAAGGGCTGGAAGGAACCCTTGTACGGTAAGGTATCGCGGGACATCCCTTGCTTCTGCATCGTGTAGTAGAAGTGGAGGTATGTTACTACGGCCCCGAAGTAATTGAGGAGGTAGGAGGCTGTGCAGATGCCCACAAACCAATTTAGGACTGTTGCTGAGGTGCTTCCAATTTGCAGGAGGGAGAGGAAGGAGAAAGTTAGCGCGGTGATCACGGCGTAGTAGGGCAGGCCGTACTTGTTGCACTTTGCGAAGAGGGAGGGCGCTTTGCCGTCGAGGGCCATGCCGTGGAGGGTTCGTGCTGCGGAGAAAATGACGTTGTTGCCGGCGGAGAGGACGGAGGTTATGATGAGGGCGTTGACGAGGTCGGGGACGCCTTTTATGCCGAATTTGACCATTGAGATTACGTATGGGGATCTGGGCTTTAGTGAGTACCATATGACAGCGTTGAGAGTGAGTGGGAAGACTAACGCAGCACCAGTTCCGCTTCCCTCTCTCTCGCCGGAGATCATATCGGCCAGCATTTGGTCATCGTAGGGGATGACGATTCCGACGCACAGCGCACCCCCAATGAAGAAGAACATCAGGCGCCATACAAAGGATGAGAAGGCTTTGCCCATGAGGCGTCGCGGGTTCTCGGCTTCTCCGGCGGCCATGGAGATGAATTCGGGGCCGACCATACTATATCATCTGGTAAGACTACGAAATTCGAATCTTGGGGAGGGAGCGTACGTGAATGAACCCTGAATCATGCAAGACAATATCCCAAGAAAACGACCAGTGTCTCCGGGGACAAGGTATTCGACGAACGAGCCCTAAGCCGATGTCAACCATAGAGTCATGAGAATGCTCAGGCATCGTTACCGGATCCCTCCAATACCGAAATCCATAAGGATCATGATCCGGATTCCCGCCGACCATGGTGACAAAGGTGTACATCATCAGCCCGAGCATGAGGAAGATCTTGAAGATGGACATGTAGAACTCCGAGATGCCGAAGTACTTGACCGTGAGACCGTTCAATACCCTACCTCATCAGCTCCGGTTTCAATGAGAGGTCTGACTCACGAGTATACGACCAGACAGACTGCGACCACCACCCCAACATGGACTTTGTCCGTCCAGTAGGTGAGAAGGACATGGATAGCGGTGATCTCATACGGGATGTTAAACGCTCGGCCCTCGTCAGTGCAAATTAATGACTAGCCAATAGCGTTGCTCATAGTAAACCTCTGGATTGTCTATGTGTAGCGAGCAGTGAGTTGTGAGAAAACCTTAACCATCATGTGCTGCGCTAGTTTTAATTAGGATAGGCGCGTCCTGGGCGCCGGCCCTTCGGGTGTTTAATATACTTTTTAATTAAGTAATACATGGCCATATTATAAAGCTATATACATGTCCTAAATAGGAAATATTACTAAAAATAAGAATAACAAAACTTTTATATTTTTAATTTACTAATTAAAGGGCTTTCTTAAGGCCTGTTATATTTTAAAAAGTGGTAAACTTAGTTACTTTTAATAATTTAGTTATTTTATTTATAGGGTTTTTTTTTCCCGGCACGTGTTAAAACTTTATAAGATATTACTTATAAATATTTTATATAAAAAAGTATTTATTAGCTAACCAGTGTGTAGTAACTAAAATTTTTTAACTAGTGGCGTTAGTAATAGCGCTAGTATTATTAAAGTGTATTATAATTAGCTTATTATTTTATACTTTAAGTGCCTTAGTAAGCTTTTTTATAAATAAGGCTGTTTTAATAGCCCTGTTAAATACTAAAAATTTTATTATAATAAATAAAGGCGCTATAACTACTTATTTTTTTAAACTTCACGCGATAAAAAACCTATAAAAATATATAATAAAGCCCTTGGTAAACTTCCTGTTAAAATAATTTTAATAAAACGCGTTAAAATAAATAATTATTCCTTTTATATAGGTTTTAGCAAGTACTAAATTACTTTAATTAATTATAATATAGTAAACCACGTGCTTGGCGGCTGCCATGTTATTAGTAATTAAAAATTTTTATTAGTATTATAAAAATTAAACCAGGTATATAAGGTTAACACGGGTTTTTTTAAGCTAGCCAAAAAATTTAACTAATTAAGTAAAGGCGTGAGCGCTGGAGGCGTTAAAAATTAAAGGTATATTAGGATTTATAATATTTAATTAATTAACTTTTTATATAATTTTAATATATTTTTTTATTATTAGTGTTTTTGCCGGCCTAGCCTTAGTAAGGCTAAAATACTAAGCTATTTATCTTGCATACATGGCTTAAAAAAGGTGGATTATCCTATTTTTATAATCGCGGGATATTATTAATTTAAAAAATTTAATTAACTTATTACTAACTTTAAGTTTATAAATCTTTTATAAAAGGCTAATAATAGTGTTTATATTAGCTTTTATTTTACTAGTAATAATATTATTATTTATATAGGTAATAATTAGCGCGTAGGGTAACTTTTAGATATATATATAGGGTTTTTTAGTAAGTGGCTTAAAGCCCTTAACACATAGTAATTAGTTAAATTTCTAGTTTTATAAGTATGTAAAGTTGCAAAGGCTAAATAGGGCTTTTTATACCTTATATATAAGGTTATTATTAATCCCGTGGCCGCGTGGCTATTATATATAAATTTTTTAATTAGCTATTTTTATATTAAGGTAGGTGCTAATAATATTAAACTAGCGCTAGCTAAGTTTTTAAATAGCTATAGCTATTAGTATATATTTAATTACTATGTTAGCTATAACTAAATAAAAGCTCTTGTTATAGTTTAATTTAGTAACTTAGTGGTTACCATACATAATAATTTAAGCCTTAAATAATAAAACAAAGCTATTTTTATTACTTTTAAGTGTAAATACCCACTTGCTAGAAATAATTTTAGCCCCTTTTAGCTATTTAATAAGCCTTCACGTGTTTATAGTAACTACCATGCTAATATAAACTAATATAACTTTTTTTTATTAGTTAAAAAACTTAGATTACCGCGCTTTTTTATAAAATCTTAGCACTTTAATATTATTAATATATAATTTAGCTTTGGCTAATATTTAAAACCTCCTGGTAAGTAAATACTAAACTATTTTATTAAGTATTTTAATAACTCCGGTATTAGCATGCTTAATTACTTTAATTAATGGGCTGTAATTAATACAGGGTTTAGGGTATTTAGTTAATAAAATAATTATTATATTAAAAATGTTAGTATTTATATTTATTTTATATAGGGTGGCCTTTATTATTAAAACCTTTAGTTAGTTAGGGAATTAGCCTGGTATCTTATAATTTAATATTTTTAAATCTTAATTAGTTAGTGCATTTAATATTATATTAGTATCCATGTTAAATACACGTGGCTTAAAATAGTCTGCCTTAAAAATTTATTTACATGTATTTTAAATGTTATTTAACGCCAATCCTAGCAAGTTAAGGTTATTTTAAAGCTTTTAAGGGCGCGGAGCGGGTGGGGCTTAGGTTACTAGTAAAAATAATATAATTTATATTTAAAATTAATTAATAGGATTTATTAATAGTAGTGTATAAGCCGGTGTTATTATAGTGTTAATGCCTTTTATTAGAGATTAAGGTGGTGTTACTAAATTAAGGTTATTATAATAATTTAATAAGGTTGGGCTTAGCGCGCTAGTGCCATTGTTATTATTATTAATTAATTATTTTAACAGGATTTTTATATTTCCAGCATGTGAGTACTATATTAACACTAGAATAAAGTTAACCCAGTATTTTAGTATTAATAAAGCAAGTAACTTTAATTTAATATTACCACATGGTATTAAAGTTGGTTAGCGCCATAAAATTAGGAATATAGTTTAAATTTAGCCAGTAATTAATATTTTAGGCGCCTGGATTATTAAAATTAGCTTAAAAATAGGCGTATTATTAAGTTTGGTATTATATATAATGGCCCCTAGCATTAATTTATTAGGTTAAGGCAGGGCACCCTTTATAAATATAATACCAAGCAGGTAATTATTTTTATAAAACTTTAATTTATTAAATAAAACATGTTTTAAGTGGTAAACCCGCTTCCCTGGGACCTATACTTGGAAGATCTTGTTATTATTTTTTTTATATTTAACTAAATAACTAATTAAAGCTTTTATAACAAGCTTATAAAACTATTTATAGTTTTTAATTAACACATGGATGTATAATTTACAGCCATAGGCGCGGAAGTTATTAAGGCAGGGTATTAAGTTACTAATCTAGTAGTATTCGCGCTATAGCTATAGGGGTAACTTACTATAAAAATTTTTAGTAATAAATAGTTAATTTAAGGTTATAATAGCAGCCTTAATTATTTTAGGCTATACTTTTTTTAGTAAACTAGTGTTAATTTTTATGGCTTGGGCTGTTATATTAATATACTAGGCATAGTATTTTAAAATTTTATTAGATTCTAGAGTTTTTAGTAAAAAAAATTAAAATATTAAACCTTTTAGCTTAGCCTAGGTTTTATACTTAAGAAACTTTTTACTACTATTTATTTTAATAGCGCGGATATACTATCCCGTAAGGCACTTATAGTATTTTTAGTATAATATTAATTACTAAAATACTTTCTTCTTTTTTTTAACGCAGTATACCGCGGCTAATTAGGTGGTGTTATTAATAATTATAAGGTAGTAGTTAAATCTACTAATTTTAGTTAGTTAAACAGGTTATATATTTACATGCCATAATTTTTTTAGATTTACTTCCCGCGGGATGGGCTAAAATAATATTTTATAAGATTTAGCCTTAAGGCAAGCAGAGTAGTTTAATTAATTAATAATATTTATATTAAGGCCTTTTGCCCAGGCCGTAATATAAAGTCTAGGAATACCTGCGTGGTTAAGGCGCTTATAAAATAGATTTATATTAATTATAACTAATTAAAGACGTTATTTAAATATAAACTTTAAAAAAAAAATGCTATAGCATGTGTAAGCTTGCCCTATAATAAATTTATTTAGGCTAATAAAAGTATTATTTTTTTTATAATATTATATGCCAAGCGTTTTTTTTAACTTTTTAATAAATAATAGGTAAATTAGAGCCTTGGGCGCGTGATATTTATAAATCTTAATTTTTTTATATATACTATTTACACCCTTTATAATAATAATTAGTATTTTATAACCTTTAGCACGTTTAATTACTTTACTAGATATTTTATATAAGTATCCCAAGTGGTTTAGGCTATATTTTATATAATTTTTAAAGTTAAAGCACTTAAAAAAGATAAACTTAGCTAATTTTATATTTATAAGCTATTTTATTAGTTTAGCGGTTATAGTAAAAGTAGGTATAACTAAAAATTTAAGGCTAATCTTAGGCTTTAATTTATTATATTTAAAGTTATAATTATTAAATTTATTATTATTATATAAAGTTATAGCTTATGGCTTTACACTAGTTTTATTTAAGTATAGCACTTATACTTTAAAAAGCTTAATTTAGTTATTAAGTTAAAGTTAAGGATTTAAATAGTAATAGTTTTTTTAAAAGTGGCCGCCATATTTATAATATTTATAAAAATAAACCTTATTATTCCCTTGCTTTATTTAATTAACTTATTTTTTTTTATTTATATTATTTAAAGGGCTAGTAAGCACTTTAGTGCAGGGTTTTTTATAATAAACCTATTTTTTTTACTTTTTTAAGGGCGGGGCCGCGGTGGCAAGCAGGATAATTATTTTAGCTTTAGCTATAGTATTTTTATATAGTTATTTTAGGTTATTCTTGCTATAGTTTCTTAAGATCTTATTAATTAAAAATAATTATTAAAGTATAGCCTATATTTTAAGATTATTATAAATTTCTTAAAGGACTAATAGCATGGTAATATTAGGTTTAATAATAACATGTAGGTTTTTAGTAATATTTTATGTGGTTATAAATATTATAATAAACTTAAAAATAATAAAGAACTAGTTCTTATATATATTAATAATACTAAGCGCTACCTTGGTAATCTAGGGTACGCCTTATTTAATAATAATTTAGTAAATTACCTTAAATATCTTATTAGTATACTTTATTAAATGCGGGGATTTTATAACTTTAATATAGATTTTACAGCTAACTTGGCCCAGGAGCTAATTAGTAATAAGTATTAAGTAATTTTTTTATTATTTTTAATATAGTTTATTCTCGGGAGGCCTAGCAAGCAAGAAATTAATTAATTAAAAAAGGCGTAGGGCTTATAAATATTTTTTTACTTAACTAAACTACTTATTATAATTAGTTTAGCCCAAGAGTTTAATCCCAAGCGGGTATATAATAATAGGAACCATGGCCTTAAGCAGGCGGTGCTTATAATATACCTATTTAAGTAAGAAATTAGGGGGATTTATTAGCTAAGTTACTTACTAAAATATTCCTATAGCGGGATTAGGTATCCCTGTAAGGAAAATAACTTATTAAAGCTTGGCTATATTAAATATTAAGTTTTAATTAATTAAAAAATTATAGTTTTATTAATTTATAAATAGTAGGTATTAAAAATCGCGCTTTAAAAAGGTAAAAAGAGTATATAATAACACTTATTATAAGCTTTAAAGCTTATAAAGGCGCTTAAAAAAGTTTTAAATAATATTTTAAAGTAATTAAAAGAGTTTAAGGGCTTATAACCTAATAACTAGCTAATAATATTACTTATAATAAACCTTTAAATTATTTATGTGTAGCAAGCGGTAAGTTATAAGAAAACCTTAACCATCACGTGCTGCGCTAGTCCTAATCAGAATAGGCGCGTCCCGGGCGCCGGCCCTCCGGGCGTCCGACACAAATCATCACGCACGAAGAAATGCCATACCCATGAGAAAAAAGTAATTCCACCCCATCGCAAAGCTCAGCGCATCGTCAACCCAGAAGCCAGCGAGTCGGACAAACGGCGACGCAATGGGCATGTAGGTGACCATCTCAGCTATATCATGGTTAAAAACCCTTCGAGCCCCAAAGATAAGAGGGTGGCAATACCGAAACACTGGTTCACCGCGAGCACAATCGTGCCATAAAGCACGAAGCCCAGGAACAACCCAGCCGGCCCGCCCTTGGGCAGGGACGCTCCCATCTGCACATAGAGGGCTGGTCCATTTCCCATACATTAGCTCACACCCGACGAGCCGACCTGACATCCACAAAATTCAACAAGGGCAACTTACACGTCCCGATAGCACCGCCAACAGCGAACAGCTGGATCTCTTTCCCTCCGAGCCTGCGATGCAGATGCTGCGATCCAGCGGAGATGTCCGGCCCAGCTGGCCTATCCGCTGGCGCAGGAGCATCGTCGTCGATAGCCTTGTGTTGGCTCATCGCTTATCCTCCATACGCCGAGAGGGGGGAAATACTGATGAAGCTGGAGCTTTTCCATTCTGCGGAGTTTGATTTGGAAAGTGAAAGTCGTCAGGTGGCACTGCCTGCAATATCGGAGCGAACTAAGGACCAGGACGAAGAGGGGCACTGCGCCTCCTATTCGTTGGCTCAGGCAGGGATTCTCTGCTAGGTTACAGGGGCCATAGCTACCTTAGGCTTTGAGAATTGGAGAACAGTCTACGCTTCAGTTCTGATGTACGAGCCATACTTAGTGGGCCAGGTCACCATACTTTACTGGACCTGGAATCGAGTATAAACTTATAAACTTGATCGCGGCTAAAAGGTTCACTCCGATAATGCTTTATCTATATCTCTATATCTGAACTGCATAGTCCGCCATTATCTCTACTTAGGGCTGTTCCGGCTAGCGGCGGAGCACGCCCCTCCTTCTCCCGCGGGTACGGAGGCCTAAGAAGACACTCGGGAAAAAACTCCATATCTTACTAAGACTCCATACCGCTTTACCTACCGCTCTTTATGTATACCTTAAAAAAATAGCTACTTTTATTTTACTAATATTTCTTACCGCTCCCGAGGGCCATTATTTTTAGTAAAAATTTTATTTAAATTTATATAATAATATATATATAATTTATAATAACGCTTTTACTAGGGCTGGTTTTTATTAAAACTTAAAAAATTTTAAATTTTACTAAGTTAACCGCGTGAAAAAAAATAGTAGCTATTAAAATAGGTACTAGTACTTAGTTTTTTATAAAAATTTATATATAAATTAAAGTACCTGTACTTATAAAGCTATAAGGTTTATTTATATAAAAAAAATATATTATTAACGCGCTGGTACTTTATAAGGCTATTAATATATTAAAGGGCTGTTAAAGTGCAAGTACTTTATTTTTGTCAGGGCCAATGTTTTTTTATTTAATGTTACTAGAGCTAATCTACTATTAGTCTAAAGTTAGCACCTTAGGTAACCTAAGCTTTGGCCTTAGGCTGCTAAGGCTTAATATATTTTATTATTATATTAGGCTATATAACTTAACTAGGTTATTAATATTTAGGGTTTTAATTACTAGTTAAATAAGGCTAAAATAGGCCTTAAATATAGGCTAAAGTAAAAACCTATATATAAAGTATTTAAACCTATATTTATTTTTTAATTAAAAATAGCTTAAGCATAGCTTAAAAATTTATAAAAATAGCCTTAAAGCTAGCCTTTTTTTTTAAATTTTTAAGTAACTTTTTTAATATTATTTAATAAGGTTTAAAATACTTTATTTTTATTAATTAAATTTTTTTATTAATATTTTTATTATTAATAAAAATTTTTTAAACTTATTAGTTTTATAGTTAAAGTTACTTTTACCTATTACTTTTTAAACTTTTTTAATAATAGTATTTTAAACTAGATTTTTAAAAGGTAAATAAAGGTGGTTTATAAGTATTTTAAGTAAGGTCTTTAAAACCTAAACTTAAATAACTAAAAAAATATCCCCTTTTTTATTTATACTTAAAAATCCTATTATTATTAAAAATAATTAAAAAAAAGAACCTAACTTAAATAATTTAGTTTACTAACTTAATAAAGTATAGGGTAAGATATACCCTTTACCTTATTATTTTATATTATTACTAAAACCTATTAATTTAAAATTTATTATAATTAAAGGTATTTTAAAAAAAAGTAGCTTAAAACTATAATTTTAAGCCTATTTATTTTTTAATTTTAATAAAATTAATATTATATATTAAAATTAAAATATTTTTTAAAAAAAAATATGGGGAAGTTACCCTTATAACCTAAAGTTAAAATAATATTAAATTATTAATTTTTATATTAATTTTTTTATTAATCCCCGCGCTAATCTTTTTATTAATATTTTTAATAAGTTTTAAAAAAAATTAATTTTAGTAATTTTTTTAATTTTAATTTAAAGTTAAACTTAAATAACTTAAGTTATTATTTTAAAGCTACTTTGCCTTTAAAACCTAGTACTAGTAAAGCTAACTTTAAAAGGTTTAAAAATTTTAAATATATATAAAAAAGGTATTAAAAGGCTATAAGAAATTATAAGCTTTATTATATAAAAAAAAGGCTTTTTAAAAGCCTAAAATTAAGTTTAAAAAAGTTAAAAAGTTAAAAAAAAAATATAACAAAGCTTAAAATCTAGTTTAAAAATTTAAAAAATTACTTTTATAACACCCCTAAAAGGTTTTAAATAAATAATAAAAAAATTATATTTATTATTTAAAACACTTTAAAAAACGCCTATAATTATTAAAAAGATTAAGTTAAACTTTAAAATAA